GGAATGGGAAGGCCGTGCTTCGGCAACCGCCGACCTTGCTGCTGCTGATGCTGCTGTTGCTGCTCAGCGTTGCCCTGACCCCGTGGGGTGGTCGTGGTCGTATCGGAGATTTTTTTTCCCAGCACGGCCTCGTATCCGGAAAAATTCTTGTTCGCTAGAGCAGGCCGCAACCGCGCTCACGCGGTCCAGAATGCCAAGTCAAAGCCATGCCATGCAACAACACTGCTGCTGCATGGCTGACAAAAAAAAGCCTCCTAGGATACGTGGTCTTGGTCTTGGCCCTCCAAGCAACATACGGCGACGGCGGCGCCGAAGATGGAGCTCTCAAACGCCATTTCCAGATCCACCGAGTGGGGCGGCGCACCTGACAGCCTCGTGAGGTCTTCAATATATTGCTGACACAGGGCCCGGAACGAAGGGTATTTTTCAATGACGGAACCGTTGCAGCTGATGGTGACATGGCCGGCATCAGCTGCCGCAAGGTTCTCGGCCCGGTTACGGAGCGACCAGAGGGCGTGGATCCCGGTGGCAAGGTAAGCCGCGGCGCGGCGCGATACGAGCTGACAGATTGAACGGATAAAGAGAAGATCGGCGTATGTGGGAGGCGTTGGAAGGGGGTGGTGCGCTTGGAGGACGGTGCAAGCTTTGGTAAGGGAGGGGGTGTCGTCGCTGGAAGAATGTCAGATGTCAAAGTCAAGTGAGGGGTAAGGGAGGGGCAACCGACGCTTCAATGACAGCCATGATGCCAGTATCGAGGCTGTAGGGCTCCAAGAGCTTGTCCGGCACCTCGCCACCAAACAGGCCAGCTGTCTGGATGGCTTCGAGCAGGACTAGCCTCGTGATTTCGCCCAGGTAGCGACCGCTGATCAGGTGCTCGAAGGGCTGGAAGTCGGGGTGGTCGTGGTTGCGGTTGAGATAATCGTCCCATCGGGTCGTGGGCAGAATGTTCTTTCCGAACATGCTGAGCTCGGTGTTGACCAAGACGCGCTCTGCCTGGTCATGCCAGCTCTGCGGCCTCTCGCCAAACTTGTCACGGGACAGGGCAGACACGGGCAGGTGGACCGAGGCGTTGAAACCGGTGCCCAGGATCAGAGCAAGGCGTGTCGTCTCGTCCTGGTAGGCGCGGGAGAGCAAGGTAGCCGATGAGTCATTGACAATGGCATCCATGCGGACGTTGAGTTTCTGTTTCTGCGTTAGCATGACGGATTACCGAAAAGGGTAATTTTTCTCGCACCCTTCGGTTGCACGCGAGCATGATGAGTTCGCCGAGGTCTCTCTTCTGCACGCCTTTGCTGGCGCGGAAGCCCTTGCCCATGTCGAGCAGGATGCCGCTCCTGGTCGAGGTCTGTCTGCACAGAGTCAATAAGAGCAACATTGGGACCATTGATGGTACTTACTCTACCGGGAAAGACCAGGCCAGGCCCATGGGCAAGGTGTGGGGACCACAGCGCTTCTTGACGTCCGGGTCGGCAATGGTCTCTTCGATACGCTCGGCCATCCAGTCGAAGAAGGCGTGGCCCTCGAGCTGGCGGACGCGGTCGTCGACGCGAAAGGAGCGCATCTTGGCGATGCGCATGCCCTGCGACTTGCCCTGGAGTTCCACGAGGGCGACGCGGAAGGTGGAGCCGCCGACATCGAGGGCCAGATAGGTGCCGCGCTCGTGACCAGAGGGCAGCGTGTGATTGTAAGACGGCAGCATGCACATGGCACTCTGGCGGAGCTTGAGGGCGAACTGGTCCTGCAGGCGGGCCGACATTTGCAGCAGGCGGGCGGGCAGCAGAGGAGCGTCGAACAGGCGGCGGGCGTCGCGCAGGAAATCGTCCATGGTGAGGTCGCAGGCGCGGACCACATTGTGGATGCGCTTGGCCTTCGGCAGCGACACGGGCGGGGAGCACACAAGCTGTGGGAGCATGCTGAAACTGTGGCAGCGGACGGGGTCAAACGGGCGGCCGGCGGGTCTTTGAGAAATAGCTAGCGGACTGGAACTGGAGCCCGATGTCGCAAACGGTGCGGGCGCATGGCGCTTGTAGGTAGAGCAGGTCCAGAGAGAGGCCGGCAGGAGGAAGGTGTCATCGCGGGCGGGTGCGCGGGCGCAAGGGTAGAGGCGTCGGAGGGCGAGGCCTGCAGAAGCCAAAACATATGCCACCCAAGTCTGCAACCCAGCCTTTCCGCAATCGTTTGCTCCCACGTGCCCCGTCCGTCGTCCGTACTCGTAGGGCTTTCTCACTCGTGTCGTGTTACATGCATTGCCCAGACGAGATCTGTCCCGGCCCACCGCCCACCAACTGGCGTGACACCGATCTACGCGCTATCTCTACATACTGTAGGTAATAATAATAATGTCTTCGGCCTTCCTCTCTCTCCCCACCGGTGTATATACAATACGAGCAGTCAACTCCCCACGATTGCATCATCCATCTCCTGATGATGGGCACGTGGTAAGGACGCGAGCACGGAGAAGCATCTCCACCAGCAACAGCACCACCGCCACTACCACTACCACTACCACCACCACCACTATCAACAACACCATCAACACCAAAAACACCGCCAGCTCATCTCACTCCAAAAATTCTCATCCTCCCTGCACGCACGCACCCTCCCCGTCCTCGAGCTGTCGGCCTCTTTCTCGCAAGTACCAAGTCCTAGCAGCTATAAGTACAATACGGCACACCGGGGCAGCGTAACCCTCCTCCACTTTTTCGCATTATTCATGACAAGTACCTCCGTGGTGGTGTTGGTGGCCGGTAGGGCTAGGTAGGCAGACGATGTCACCGTCTTGTTTCCGGCGCGCTGGCGTGTTTGTGTGTGTGTGGATGGAAATTGGAAATCTACCTTAAGGTACCCAGCCAGGACGGAAGCAGGAGCCGCGGCGGGCGGACAAACGTGCGCAACGCCAGACGCGCACGGCGACGTCGATAGCCAAGTCCCGGCTGCGACGGCAGTTGGTCTGCTCTGTCTGTCTGTCTGTCTACGTATACCTACCACGCCTACCTGGGTTTGCTTAAAAGGCCGTTCCATCGACCTCACCCCCACCGGGCACGCCGTCCGCACCCGCCCACGCACACGCACACGCACATGCACACGCACACGCACCCTAGGTAGGTAGCATGCGGCTCGGCGTCGGCGCGTCGTCGTCGATTAGATCGACCATCGAGCGTAACGTCTCTGCGCACCCACCCACCCCTTCCTATTACGCACAATACTACCTACTAAGTGATTGTGCGGTCTTGACGTCTCCATCGACGTGAGACATGCTCTGCTACTCTACTTACCTAAGACGCCGATGTCACTGTGTCGTCGTTTCGGCCTGGCCGCCTGGATTCGATTCGCATCGCCTGATTGTTTGTCTGAGTGCTGGACTGATGGAGTGTGCTTGCGTGTGCGCTCCCGTCTGCTGCCTTGTTGGTTCTCTGTTTCTCTGTCGTCGTCATGTTTCGTCTTGGGCTGCATCTTCGTCTTTGGCTTCGTCTGCGTCTCTTTCGCTGCCGCTTCGTGTCGTCGAGTCCTTAGTATCTCTCTCTCTCTCTCTCTAGGCTCTCCACGGTCTTGCTCGTTACCATATCCTAGCCCTCATTCTCCAGCACCACCATGACCGGCCTGTCCTACCACATGCACGCCTGACCCGTCTTCGTCCTTTTCTCCCTCGCCAGCCAGCGACAACCCCTCCAATGAATGAGCCGAGCCACCAATCGGCTAGGCCCGTCTGTCTATCCCTCCTCTTCCTCTCTGCGTAGCCACTTGCTCACTCTTACTCTCACTCTCGCACACACACTCTCTCTCCCTTCCTTCGCGCCTCCTCCAGCCACTCACTGTGCGCCATGCGTGCCTAGTACGCCCGCCTTCTCCTCCTCCTTCTCCGCCTTCCATGCCCGTCATAGGTACCGACCTAGCGCCGCCGCCGCCACAGCCGCACTCAGCGCCGTCGTCCTTGTTCTTGTCCTCTTGCTGTAAACGAGCAAGCACTGCCGCCTTGACACAATACCTATATCCACATCCAAGACTACAGCCACAGCCACGACCGTAGCCGCAGCCGCAACCACCACGCCCACGCCCACATACGTACGTACCCAAAACGGTATACCCACCTATCTATCTACCAACAATACGACACCATACACACACGCACTCGGTCCAGTGCAGTACCGCGAAAGCATACAACCTGATACACGTCCACCCGTACAAACAACCCCCCTTCTTCTCTCTCTCTCTCTCTTTTACTCTTCACACTCTCTCCACACTCTCAAGCAAAACCCTCCCACCCAAACACACACACACACACACACACAAGCACGCACTCACCCCTCCTCTCAAACAATAACCCGGCACGCCTCCTTCGAACCTGAACCCAAGAAGACCGCCACCACCAGAGCGGAGACGGCATACCCAGACGCAGCCGCAGCCGCAGCCGCCTTAGCAGCACCGACAAAGACCTACCTACCTAGACAGTAGCCCAGGCACTCTACAGTAGAGCACATGCAGTCCAGTATAGCAGCTACCACAAACAACACCTACTGCCTACCTAAACCCGACCCGATGCCAGCAACACACGCACAGCAAACACACACACACACAGCAAACCAAACCCCAACCCGACTCCTCCCTCGCCTCAACACCACATACCTACGCAACCCGGCTCGGCTAGCCACGGCTTAAACCGCACCACCACCCAAACCCAACCCAAGCACGACCCTACCACCACCGACCCGACAATAGCGTACGTACCGGCACCCGGCAGTGGGCCCCATCATTCCATGCCGCCGCCGAACCTCCGCCGCCGAACGATCCGTCTGCTTCGGCCCACTCGCGCCCCACCTACCCACTGCCGAGCGGGGCGCTGGGGCGTTGGGAACGCCTCTATACTACATCATACATGCTACCTAGCTACCTACCGTACGTACACTCGTACGTACGAGTGTATGAACAAGAGTAGGTAGGTGGGTAGCTAGGTAGGAGGCTAAGGTGGCTAAGTGCCTAAGGCCGTAACTACGCACCCCACTACCACAAGATCCAAGATCCAAGATTCAAGATTAAAGATCTAATCTCCAACTTTTAGGAGTGGGGTTTTCCAGATTAACTGCATAAGGCCGTACTGCATAAGGCCGTAAGGCCGTAAGGCTGGCAGCCTGCCTACTTACGTACCGCAGTACAGTCACTATCACTATCACTGTCGACGCCCTGCCTACTCCTATCTATCTGTCTACTCCGTACTCCGTACTGCCTGAGTCATCAGTCCCTTGGGTACTCCGGGCTAACATCACGCACATCACACACACAATCACACACAACCACACACAACCACACACTCAAACACCAAAACCAAAACCAAAGCACATCAAATCATCATCATCGTCATCATCATCCATGCATTTCCATTCGAGCTCGCCACCTACTCACTCATCATCATCCATCAGAGCCAACCAGCCAGCCAGCTAGACTAGCTAGTCTCGCTAGCTAGCTAGAAAAAAAAAAAAAAAAAAACAGACAGACAGACAGACAGACAGACAGACAGGCAGGCAGGCAGGCAGGCAGGCAGGCAGGCAGAGCTCCGCCATGCCATGCGATGCGCGCGACACACACGACCCACCACCCAAGGCCCAAAGGTATGTGGCCCGCTCGACACAGACAACTCGACGAACCCTGAACCAGAACCAGAGAGCAAGCAAGCCAAGCAAGCCAAGGCAAGCAAGCAAGCAAGCAGCAAAAGCAACGAACGAAACCACCGCCATCATCGCTATCAAGATCCACCCATCCATCCATCCACTCGATCCGTCCGAGTGCAGGGTGTATGTACTGTACTGTAGCAGTGTAGGTACATAAGTGGAAGAAAGACAAAAAAAAAAAGAAAAAACGGCCTTAGCCCGCATCGCGCCGCTCCAGAGCGATCGCGACAAAAAAATCGGCGTGTGGGGCTGCATATATGCATGAATGCATACCATACATACAGTCCACCACTCAAGCATTAAAAAGCATAAGGTAAAGAAAAAGAAAAAGTCAAGGAAAAAAGCAATCAGTCACCTTTCCTCGAACCCCCAAATAAACACAACAACAACACAACACGAAATAACGACCAAGAAGAAGTCCCTTCGTTCATTCACGCGCATCTACGCGCGCTTCTCCTCGTACTGCGGGGGCGAAGAAGACGTCGCAGCAGTCGCAGGGGCCACCGTCTTCGGATCCGCGTTCGCGACAGCATCAGGCTTGACGTCCGCGAGCGTCTCGTCCGTGAACTTGAGATCGTCTTCAATGTCGACCGTGTCCTTGATCTTGATGAGGAAGACCGGCAGCGCAATCACCAGCGAGCCCGCCAGTAGCGCCCAGCACGACGCAAACAGGTTCATAAACGGCTTCTTGTCCAGGTCGAGCGCCCAGATGACGGCCGCACCCGCCGATTGGATGCCCTTGTAGAAGCCGGCAAAGTTGGCCAGCTTGCGGCCGTTGTTTGTCATGGCGCCCATGAGCCTATTTTTAGAGTCAGCTACTACCCTCTATACTTGCGCATTGATCGCGTTCATCTCACCAGTAGACGGTCGTCTGCCACGCGGCGTCGTAGAAGCCATAGAACATGTACAGGAACATGGGGCCAACGTAACCCGAGTGAGTCCAATCCCTGACAAAGTCATCCTGAGCGGCATCTTCGCGAGTGTACGTCTTCTGGAACGCGTAGCCGCCGCCCCAGATGCCCATGGTCAAGGCGAACAGGACGGCCCAGACAATCTTGGCACGGACCGTCCGGCGGATGCCCGTCTGGTCGAGCCCGTAGCCCATGATGAAGGCGCCGACGATCTGCATGACGTAGTAGAGCGTGTTGTTGAGGGCGCGGGTGCGCGTGTTGAAGTACGCGGCATTGACGTTGTTGAATTGGTAGGTGTAGAACCAATTCGAGGCGAAGAACATGGGGAAGAGGGCGATGATGTAGGGGTCGCTGACGAACGTCTGGCACAGGCCCTTGACCTCGGTCATGAAGCTAGGGTTCTTCATGAGGATGACGTGGGTGCCATCGTCGCGCACGACGCTCTTGGCATTGACGAGGAAGAAGGCGCAGGCGGCGCCGATGAGGGTGAGGACGAGGAAGCCAATGTACGTGCCATCAGACACGGTGCTCGCCGTCGTCGTGTGGATGTTTTGGCCGAGCGGGATCTGCGGGGCGCGCCGGAATTAGTAAAGCGACAACCTACATAGGAACAGGGGACCGGGCGGGCACGGGAGGGGCGCGGGCGCGTGGCACGCAACCGGGTGAAGGGTTAAAGCTTACCAGACTTCCAATGACGGCGCCGAGGTTGAAGATCATCCAAAACCACGAGATGTAGCGGCCCTTGGACTCCTCGGGCGGGTACGACATCATGATGGCGCCCTGGGCGGTCCAGAGCATGCCGGCGCATATGCCAAGGAAGGCACCCGCGAAGATGGTGAAGCCATAGTTGTGGTTGTGCGAGAAGCTTAGGAACGAAGCGACGTAGATGCTGTAGCCGATGCCGCCAAAGGCCAGCGAGATCTTGATGCCAATCGAGTTGACAATGGTGCCGGCGGTGAAGGCGACGACGGCAAAGGTCGAGTTGAGGGCAATGTTGGCCTTGTTAGAGGCCGAGGTGTCGACCTGACCGCCTCCACCCATGCCCTGGACGGCATTGAACATGCCCGGGCACAGGAAGCAGACCAGCGAGACGAGGACGAGCTGGGCCGGAGGCGAGGCATACCAGATGCGGTGACCGAAGATGTTGAATTCGCGATACTTCCACGACTTGGGCGGAGCGGCGGCGACACCCTGCTCTTCGCTCGACATGGTTTGCGAGTGGTCAGACGAGGCTGGGCGCGTTTCAGCGGTAGGCACGTTGTTTTTCTCGGCGGCGACAGTGGGCTGAGCCATTGTGATGGTGGAAGGAATTCCAAACGAACGAGAGAGAGGGAGAGAAGGGAAGTGGAAATAAGGCAGTTGCGGAGGGAGGGTAGGGGCGGCAGCGGTGGCAGCTTCCTAGTCTGGGGATCAGGGTGCGGCGCAGCGGGTGGAGTGCGGACTGTTATCTCTCCAGTCTACGGAGTATTATGAAGCAAGCGGACGGTCGATCCTGAACGGTGAATGGCGATTGTTGTCATGCGCATCACAATTCTATATACCCGCCGTGGCACCGGCCTAAGAATAGTAAGCTCTAGTTGTTAAGATAACCTTTTGGCCGCTCCATGCGGGCGCGACCGCGACCCCAAGCCCCCCCCCAGAAAGCCGACGGACGATAAGCCGACACGCGCAAGAAAAATACGGGGATTGGCGAAAGGGGAGGGGCGTGATTGGGCGAGACTGCGGGCGGGCTTGGCTTCTTTTGGCTTTTGCTGGCTGGCTGCTTGTCATTATCGTCTAGTCACCCTCACCTCACTCTCACCACCCTCTCCCTCCTTCTGCAAGACGTTGCTGCCGGCCTAATGTAACGCTGCCGTCAGCCACACCTGGGGAGAGAGTGAATGATCGAGTGCGCTCGGGCTAGTCCGCGTTTTGCCTGAGCATGGGCCCCTGCCAGCTCGTGGACATGATGCAACATCGTCTTTTGAGGCAAACCACATTACATTCCGAGTCAAATCGACGCCAGCGACGGTAACACGCAATGACTCTGGCTGCCGTTGCAACGTCCCCATGATGGCGCATACTCGTACACAGGCTCTAAAATAAGAGAAGGGCGCGCGCCCAACTTGCTGCTCTCGTCCGAGACAACGGCGGAAGCACAACATGTACGTACAGGCCGAAAGAAGCTGTGGCTTGTGCTGACGGGCAGGCAGGAGGCTCATCATCCGCGAAGATCGCCAAGCGGCGTCGCAATACGTCGCCGATTATGTCGTCGGTCAGTGGTCCAAGGCTAGGCCTCCTCTTCCCCCGCAAAATAGCCTGACGCAAGGCGTGTATCGTGCATATCTAGGGCGCATCAAAGCCTTTGCCCCGACGCCCGACCGCCCGTTTGTCCTGGGCCTGCCCACCGGCTCCAGCCCGGAGATTGTCTATCGCCTGCTGGTGCAAAAGTACAAGAGCGGCGACGTCTCGTTCCGCAATGTCCTCACCTTCAATATGGTACGACGTCGTCCGTCCCACGACGCGAAATGAGCTGAAGCGCGCCCGTGCACGGCGCACCCTAAACCACCCTGCCTACCATCCCTACCCTAAACAAACACTCTTCAAAACACCCTCCCCCTCGCCCCCAAAATCCCCTCTCTCTATAAGAAGATCCTCTATATAATAACAGCCCCCCCAACTAACCCCACCAAACAGGACGAATACGTGTCCCTCCCGCAATCCCACCCCCAATCCTACCACACGTACATGTACAAGCACCTCTTCTCGCACGTCGACATCCCGCCCCGCAACATCCACATCCTGAACGGCAACGCGCCGGACCTGTCCGCCGAATGCGCCGCCTACGAGCGCGCCATCGTCGCCGTCGGAGGCATCGAGCTCTTCCTCGCGGGCGTCGGCACGAATGGCCACATAGCGTTCAACGAGGCCGGCACCGGCTTGAGCAGTCGCACGCGAGAGGTCGTGCTTGCGCCTGAGACGCGGGCCGCTAATGCCCGGTTCTTTGCCGCGACCGCAGGGAGCACCGTAGGGAACACCCTCGCGTCCACAAACAGCGGTCTCGCGACCGGAGGCACCTCCGCCGCCGCAGTCCCCACACGCGCCCTAACAGTGGGCACATCGACGATCCTCGGCGCGCGCGAAGTCGTCGCGCTAGCGACAGGGGCGCACAAAGCGCGGGCGGTGCGGCACGGGCTCGAAGGCGGCGTCAGCCAGGCGTGGCCGCTGTCGGGGCTGCAGCTGCACGCACGCGCCGTCGTTGTCGTCGACGAGGCGGCGACGGCCGAGTTGCGGGTGCGTAGTGTGTGGTTTGCTAGGGAGTGCGAGCGCGAGCTGGGGGAGGGTGCGGGTGTGGGCGCCGCGCCGCTTACCGTCGCCCCTCCTACCCCCCGCATCGGCGGCGCGGGCTTCGACGTCCTGACGCCCCCGCCCTCGGCCGTGGAGGCCAAGCCGACGAAGGAGGTGCCCCCGACGAAGGAGGCGCCCCTCTCCCTAACCATCCCCCTCTCCATCCCACTCCCCTCACCGCACCCCTCACGCACGCCCACGCCCGAGCCGACATTCGAGCGCATGGGCGCGCGCATCGTCTCGTCTGTCGACGCGGACGCAGACGCGGCCATGGACGACGATAGGGCCGACGCGCCGGTTTTGCGGATGGGGGCTAGGGGGGTGGGCGATTAGGTGTGGTGTGAGTTGGGTTGTGGGTAGGTCTGGTTGTTGATTGTTGACTGTTGATTGATTGGTATACGCCTCGCTTACGCTGCTGCTGCTTATTTTGTATTCACTTCGTTAGCTCTAGGGTAGGAGTAGGTACGCTCGTTTACACATTGACTTACAAGTACGCTGGGTTTTAGCGGCGGTGTTTGTTTGTGTGCTTGCGTATGTTGGTAATTGGCGTAACTGCATAATACCGCACTATACAGCACGCACCATACTACACAGAGATTGCACCCTCCCTCAGTGCAGAAAGCAGCGTACTGTATTACATAGCAGGACACGCGCTTATTTGATACTTAATACTTGATGCTTGAGCTGCTCGCTCGTTATGCTAGGTGGTTGGGTAGGTAGGCAGTTACTAATATAAGAGTAAGAGTAGGGTATAGAAGTGGTTAAGCACTTAGTTAGGCAGTTAGTTAGTTAGTCGCTTAAACGTGTTGGGGTTAGCTTAAACGAGTTAAAGGTGCTTAGCTAGGTAGTTAGGTAGTAGTGCGATTGGTCGGTTACTAGGTATAGACGCTCGTGTCGTGTCGTGTCGTGCACGCAGTAGTATGTGATAGCATATATATATACATATACACACAGGCACGTACACATAAGGGTAGTAAACTCACCTAAACTAGATAAGAATAAAATTAAAACAAAAGAAGCGAAGCTAATCGTATTACTTACTTACTCACCTACTTATCCGTATACTACCCACTCAGCTAAACGCCGCCGCTACCACCACCACCACCACCCGCACGTATAAACAAGGCATAAATCTCAATCTCGGTCTTAATCTTAATCTCAATCTCCATCTAAGCAGGCGTGCTTTCTATCTATTCATCTATCTATTTATTCACTCACTTGTTTATTCATTCATTCATTTTCCCGTCTATTCATCGGTTTACTCCACTCTAACCCTAACAGACTAACCGCCCTCCTAACCAACCGAGTAGAAGGAAGAAGCGCTAAAGGCAAAAGAACAGTAGGAAAAACCCATGTTCCTACGTAGTAATACTTAAGCTTACCTTCGGTAAGGTCTTCTAGCTTATAGTAACCGCGTCGGGCCCGCCTACGGTAGGTAGATGTTGTATCAAAAAGGGGGAGTAGGGTAAGGTAGAGACCGAAGACGAAATTATAGCCAAGTGGAGGAAAGCGAGAAAAAGAAAAAGAAAAACACACAACGTAACATGACGATAACGCTCTGGGAGAGCGGCGTGTGTACATCATCATCTTCTTCTCTCATCTATCGACGACCTCCACCTCCCGACCGCCCTCCCTGTTTCTATTACTTCTTGGCCTCTGTATCTAACCCCGCCCTTACGCTGCTTCCCCGTCTTCGTCGGGCTTGCTGCCTGCCTACTCCCATATACCTACCGCGCACAATACCATACCACACTATACTACATATATACACACACATACAACCCTCTATCCTACCTACCTACCCCACCATCCCCACCCTACGCATACCACACCGCCTTCCCCAGCCCTTATGTCTCGGCTCAAGACAGCGGTGTGGCGGACCTAAGCCGACGCGGCGACGACGACAGTGCCGACGACGGTGGTGGTGGTGCGTGCGACCGGAGACACCGAAACAGTCGAGGACTTCCGCTTAAGCGCGTGGCTGATGGCTGATGGCTGATGGCTGATGACTGGGAGGCTGGCCGTGTCTCAGCCTGCGTTGCATTGCGTTGCATTGCGATGTGTTGCGTTGCGGTGTGGTGCGTCAAGGTGAGTGAGTAAGTAAGTAAGTGAGTGAGTAGGTGTGTGTGTATGTGTATGTATGTCTGGAGCGAGGTGGTGGGGTGGGGTGGGGTAGCGGTGGCGGGTGAAACGCGTAGGTTGTGTGGTTGTGTGGTGTGGTGTGGTACTGTACTGTACTATACTGTACTGTACTGTACTGTACTTACTGTCTGTGAAGGAAGGCAGGATGTGGGTTTAAGGTTAGTGTGAGGACTGCTTAGGAGCTAGTGCGTGGTGAGATGGATTGTTTAAGATAAATGGAAGTGAGAAGTGAGGAGCTGAGTGAATTAGTGGAGTCTATGTGTGTGAGAGTGACTGACTAACCGAGTATGTGCGTACACTCGCTCGTACGCGTGACTGTAGGAGGAAGCATGTGGGATGTGATAAGAAAGCAAGCAGGCAGGTAGGCAGGAAAGTGGTAGCGGGCACGAGGCAGGATGGAGGTGGTGATAGTGGCGGGGTGAACGAATACTCGACCAGCCAGCCAGCTAACCACCAGAACAACTAGCCGGGCAGTGTTCTCGTGCTCGCCTAAAGTGGCAAGCGTGTGGTCCCTTCCCCCCTCGTCCGTCTCTGTGTCTTATTTATTGTCTCTGTTTGCTTGGCTGCCAATCAGGCCAGTCCGATAGCCAACCAATCAGCAGCCCGAACGGACAGAAACAGAAACACTGTCGAGGGACCAAGTTGGGTGAAACTGTGAGATGCAATGAGACATACTGAGATGAAACCTACGAGACGAAATATGTACGTGCATGTTGGTAGACGGCTCAGCTTGGACTGGACCGGGTAATCAACTGGGCATGACTGAACCGTATACACATGGTGCTAGTACAGAGTATAGGGGAGCGCATGCCTCTGTGGTGTATCTCTCCTAGGTATCTAGCCCTGTATGATAGGTAAGTAAACTAGGTTTGCAACTCTGTATGCACCCAATGAGGTAAACATTAAACTAAAGGGAGGAAGAGGATGTAAGAAAACAGCAATAAAAAGACTAGACCGCTTACCCGTCTACTTACGCGTATACTCGCTTCCAGTCCCTTATACGTTTTATTAAGAACCAGCAAGGAAACAGAAGTGAAAAAAAGTATGAGTGCGTGTACATGAGAGAAATTTGTTTATTACCGGAGGAAACAAAAAAGAATCAAGAACCAGGACTTATGCCGCATACCTAAACCAGTGCCTTCAAATCGCACTCAGAATCACCACGACCTGGAACGCCTCGTAGTCTACTACGACAACCTTCTGCCTGCGTGCATCGTTATCGTTTTGACTTATCACTGACTGACTGAGAGGTTACACCTGGAGTATTCACCTACTTACCTAACTTGTCCGTCCCGGACAGCATCGTTAGTAGTAGAAAAACAACAGAGACAGCAGCAGTAGCAGCAGTAGCATCGTAATTGTAATTCAGCAGCCGCCGCCGCCGCCGCCGCCGCCGCAGCAGCAGCAGCAATAGCATGCCACGCCACAACACACCCACTCCGTACTCTCCCTCATATATCTCGCACCAATCTAGCCGCAGCGCCGCCTCAATCTCCAATCGATTCACCATCCCACCAAAACCATAACTAAAAGAAAAGACAGATAAAAAGAAAAAGGAGGAAGATGTACCCTATCTCGTACACCTAATATTCAAACACAGAGCCCCCCAGATAAAAGCTCGCAAGAACCAAAACGAAAAAACCCCGCAGACACAGCCGCAATCCACTCTAGCGCGCCGCGCCAGCTGTAACTTTATGTAGCGTGCGTACTGTAGGTAGCGCAGACACAACCCCGCGCGCTCATGCACGCAGGCACGCACGCACGCAAGCAAGCGCGGCAACTAGCCAGCCAACTAGCCAGCAGGCAAGCAGGCAACCAAGCCAGTGAGCAAGCCCACCAGCCAACAACCATCACGCTGTCCAACCCAGCAACACACCACCAGCCAGAACCCAGAACCACACAAACGCACACACGTATACCTCGGTCACCACACTACCACCACCACACCACCACCACAAACAGCAACGGCAACAGCAGCAGCGACAACAGCGACAACACCAACACCAACACCGCCAGAACAGAGAGGTATCGTGAAGCAAGCTTGCGCAACCCCAAACCTCAAGAAAAACAAAAAACAACCAGACGAAAAAGAAGGAGAAAACGACGAGGGTGTGAGCCTCCCTAAACCCGCAGCTCTCAAAACCAAAACCAAAACAAAACCAACAGGCGCAATCAGGGGTAATAACGAGAAAAAGAAGAAGAAGTAGAAGAGGACCATGAACACAAGCAGGCGCAACACTCACACCCACCCACCCACACATATCAACCAATAGCAGACCAAACACACCACACCCAAACCCACGAAACTCCTCTTGAACACGCACCCCGTAACCAAAACACCAGCAACAATAGCCACAACAGCAGCAACACCACCAACACCAAAAGCAAGTCCATCTCCGCACGCAAGCGGCAAGCAGCAAGCCCACCCACGCTCATCCATGGCCGTGCGCGGTGCGTGCGATACGACAATATGCGATACGATAGTCTTTCATTCTGAGCGCGTAAAGAAAAGAAAAGGAAAAGGAAATGAAAAAGGAAAAAACCCCAGTTATCCCACTACAACCGTGTCTTGTGCTTGTGCTTGTGCTTGTACTTCTGCTTGTGCTTGTACTTCTGCTTGTGCTTGTGCTTGTAGATGTAGATGTACGTTTACTTGTGCGTATGCTTGTGCTTGTGCCTGTGCTTGTGCTTGTGCCTGTGTTGGTGTTGTTCGTACCAGCCCGTTTGCAAACGGCGCGCTGTGCTGTTTTGCTATGTTGAGCGCGTGCGTAGATGTAGAGGTGTGGAGGTGTGGAGGTGTGTAGGTGTGTGTATGATGCGCCGAAAGACAGGTTGTTGGGTAGTTGTTTGGCTCGCTCGCTCGCTCGCTCAATCAATGAACAGAATGCTCGACTGACTGACTGTCTGACTGACTGCCTGGTTGACCGATTGACTGCGTGATAAGAGGAGCAGAAGTAGGAGTAGGAGTAGGAGTACGAGGAGGATGAAGAGGGGGGAGAAGGAGGGGAGGGGGGGTATGATTACTGTTCCGATCCGCCCGTTCTGTTCTGTTCTGTTCTGACCCGATCTGTTCGCACCATGCCATGCCGTGCCTCGCCAAAAGCCCAGACCCCAGAGCCAGCGATCCGACAGCCGCGATCGCAGAACCGCCATCGAGACGGTTATATTGCTTTTTTAGCTCCATCGAGGATCGGCAGGCAAGCAAGCAAGCAAGCAAGCAAGCACCTCGCTCCCTTGCGATTCGTCTCCGCGGGTCCAGCTGCGGAGAGTAAGAAAGCGCAGGGCAGGCACATGCCACTACCATGCCTGGCGACGCCCCATCGTCATCTTCTCCCGCGCCCCACGGTATGATTCTGGGTATCTGAAAAAGGAAAAAAACAAAAACCAAAAAAAAAGAAGAGGTACGTGTAACCTCGTTGCCCCGCCCATATTTCCCACTAACCGTCGCGCAAATTTGCGCTGAGCTTAATGCTGCCTGCGTAGAGAATGCGCGCTTCTTCCCTTGCTTCCCCGGGCGACTCCCTATCGCACCACGGCTCCAAGCAAAATCCGCACAACTGGGACCCGGAGGAGTCTCCGAAATATCATTTAACTTTGCAAGGGCTGGCTGGTTGGCTGTCGCCTTATGGTGACGACTCGGAGAAATATCTCTTGCTCCTGTTCTTCACTGCCATGGCCTTGGGATCCTGCGGCAGGTTCATGTGATGCACCACGTGCGGCCTGTACACGGCGTCGACGGGCGGCATCCAGTCGTCCAGGCCGAGCGGGAAATATTCGTACAGCAGATCTGCGCTCTCGTCCGGGCTGCTGATCAAATTCAATGAAAACGACGGTGCCCTTGCTGGTACCTGTGATAATTTCGGCAGTTTCTTGGAGCCCTCAGCGGGCGATTCGACCTTCTTTGGCTCGTCGTCGGTGAGGGACAGGCTGATGGGTTGGGAGAGCGAGGGTCGTGGCTGCTGGTTGTGGCGCGACATATCCGGGCTCGACTGGGCGTAGGGTGGTGGCACAGGCATGCTGTAGGAGGCGGGCGCCGGTGGGATGGCGGTCATGGCGCCGGGCTGACCAGTCGGTATCTTCCATTCGAAGAAATCGGGTGATACCAGGGTATCATTTGGATCGAACTGGAATGGCATCTGAGGAATCTCCACCGTCGTGGCTGTTGAAGGATCCCGCTTGTGATGACTGTGGTTAGGCTCGCCCGTCGAGGCGCGGGTGGGCTGAGGCGGGGCATGCGACTTGCGAGCGGTGCTGCCGCCGCTGATGGGGAAATCCTTGCGCGACTGGAAATTCCTCGGGCTGCGGCCACGCACGATGATGGCACCCGATTGGACCTCGCAGATAGGAACCCTCAGCCCGGTCGTGAGAGTGGCCATGACCTTGAGGCGGACCACAAAGTGCTGCTGCAGCTCCTTCCGCCGCCCGTTGTTCGCCGTCGCGATCCGAAACTGCAGCCTCTTCCATGCGATCGGAAAGCTCACAAATTCCGAGTCGAGCTCGTGTCCGTTGGACAGGTCCAGCGGTATGGAAGGCGGTTCTTTCTCCGTCTTGTCCTCTGGAATTTGGGTGCTGCTTGCCGGGGTCTTCCATGGCACAGAGATGATCTTCACCGGGTTTCCCTCTACCGACTCGGTAGCCGAGATGGTCAATTCCTGGGCCAGCACAGGGATCTGCTCGCCTTGCTCCGTCATGATGTATTGCAGGGCCCGCGGCAGGGTGATGGTGCCCGTGATCTGGAAGAGATTGCGGCGGTAGCACGTCAGCTCGGTGGGTGGGGCGGCGGCGTCGCCGGTCGAGGCCCATGGCGACTCGGCGAGGAAGAACATGCCGCGGAGCTGGGCGGAAAGGGAGACGGAGGTCCGACGGTAGGCATAGTCGAGGATGGTGTAGGGGAAGGTGGGGGGCGAGAAACCGAGCAGCTTGTTGTCGCGCTCGATGTTGGGGCTCTCGGGGGCAGTCTGCTCCGAGGGCTGGGGCTGGCCGTCGTAGGCGCTGAGGGCATCGGAAAAAGGGTCGTCGTAGGTGGTGGAGAAGCGCTTGAGCGGCGGCGGCGGCTGGCGCGGGTGCAAGTAGGCAGCATCCTCACTCCTGGTCGTAGCGCGGGTTAGCATTTGAAAGGATGGTGGGTGGTGGGTGGTGGTGGTGGTGGTGGTTGGTACCCCGCAAACGTCTCGGCGTCAAAGTTGGAGTGGGCGTCGGCCAGGGAGGAGTCGAGCGGCAGCAGGTCGGCGGCGGTTACATTGGACAGCGGCATTGTCGGGGCCAAGTAGGACATGGTGATGGTGTCGAAGCCCTCCATGGCGGGGGGTTGGGGCGCGGCATGCGCGGAGAAGGTGGTCGGAGCGTTGCGGCGACTTTGCGGGAGCGGAGGTGGAGGCGAGATGGGATGGGCTTGGTGGTTTGGGCGGGCTGACCGCAGCGCTGCTGATCTAATACATATGCCGCAGCGTCACCAGGCGTGTGCGACCGGCCGCCCTTCACATGCACGATAATTGACGGCCCGGCGCAGAGTTACCAATATCAAGTGAATCACTGTAATTTTTTCCCTACGAAGGTGGTACCATCGACCACGTCGCCGCGTCGCAGCTGACTTCCTCGAAATTATGCAAAACATCAAATCCCATGGCCGACAGCCCGTCGAAATTGCCGTCGCCGTCCATCTAAGCATGTCAGTCTTCGCCTCTCTTTCCCCTTGCAGCAAGCCCACACTTACATAGTCCAGGATGCACGCATTGCACGCCTGCTGTTTGATCTGCCGCATCCCCAGCAGAATCAGCCCCTGCAGCAGCGTCGAGTACTCGCCCACCGCCGGCGAAATCACCGGCGACGAAATGCCCCCCGCCAACTCGTTGACGTCCTTGAGCGCCGGCACAAACTCGCCCAGTCGCGAGTGCATGTTGTAGAGCACCACCGTGCCCACCAGCGCCCCGTCCTCCGGTCGCTTCGCCCGGATGATTCCGCACGCCGCCGGGTCCGCCAGCGCGAGCTTGTACACCTCGGCCAACCCTTGGCGGTTACTGGTCTTGATGTGGTCCAGCACCGCCGCCGCGTACTCCCACCCGTACACCAGGTCAAACTCGGCTCCGGCGCTTGCAAGGCTCTTCGCCATGCCGTCCGGCGGCGTCCACGTCGACAGGTTTCGCGCAACCATGCTGCACACGGGCCGCGAGAGCGCCGTGCTCCACCCCATGTTGGCGAACCACGACCGGAGCCGTTTCCTCTCCGCGCCATGCCCCGTAGGTATACCAAGGAAAATGCTTGGTAGCCTAGAGCCGAGCTGGAAACGCTTAATGCCCTCCCTCTGCAAAAGTGTCCTGATCGCTCGGTTGTGCAGCGAGTGCCCAATCGAGAGCTTCCGCCGGGCCGGGTCCACGAACAGAGCCCCTATCACCCCTGTGCCCGTCGTCTTAAAAAAGTAAGTTGAGCAAAATCCATACAAAGCTTGTGTGCTGCTGTTGCGAACGACAAAATGCGCTTCGACAACTTCCGGATGATGGAGGAGAAAGGAATTTGATGTGGAGGTGGACAGTTCCGAGTGTTGGTTGGGAGGTGTTCCCTCCAGGACTGCTTTGATCAAATTGTCAAGGGCAATCGCGTCCCTTTCCTCGTTGAATGTTTCAACGAGCCAATGCTGTCTCGACTGGTGCAACTTCTGGCTCTGGCTGATTGTCCCGGGAAGAGCGCCCGCTGGATTATGCTCGCCGTAGAGCACCTTTACTAGAGAATTCAATGCCGTTTCGGTAAAATCGTAAGTGCATATATAGGTGCCGATTGAGGGATCCATGGCGAAGTCATACGGGGAGCTCACTGCAACTACAATGAGCGGCTTTTCCCTCTTCTCGCCTCCCGCTGAGTATTGCATGTTGCAAATCATGGAGACGTGTTTCGTGAAGCCGTTTTGGTATAAATTTCGGTTGGCGTCGGCCGTCAGTATGATGACTGCGCTCGCGCGACTGATCAGGTTTTCGTGCACGGGCCGAACGCCGTTGGCCGTGTAAGAAGTGTGTAAGACTCGGCCATTACGCTGTCTTGCGAGCGATCTTCCGAGTTCCCGGAATACACGCTCTCCGCTCATGACGGAAGCACTCCGTTCCCATACTGCCGGTTCAGGTGAGCCGGCTGACACGGTCTCCGACAATGCGTAGGAAGCCGCAGATGCTGGAAGAGGCTTGACTAGGGGTGTCAGAAGAAGTAGCTCTTCATCCGGTTCGATGATGTTTGACAACGGCAGAAGCCGATTCTTGTCGCGGACGACAGTGATGGAGTTGTTGTATGCTTTCGTGGATAATGAAGTATGCGAAGGCTGCATCGTGGACAGCAACTTGATTCCAGGGGGATTGAGCGCCTTTTCCCACGATGTGCACTTTGATTTCATGCCCAGAACCCGGCGCAATGAGTCTTTGATCCTCTCTTTAGTGAGCATAGAGTTCTCCATGCCAAGCTTCAGGCCGTTGATGGCTTCTTGTTGAACTGAAAAAGAGCGGCAAAGCAACACGATATCGCAGCCAGCGTTGACGGCCATGACAGTGCCGCCGCCGACGCCGATGTTGTGACTAAGAGCTTCCATTTCCAGGCATTCGGAGACAACGACTCCGTCAAACTTGAGATCATTTCGCAACAGGCCGTCAACAACCTGATCCGATAAGCAAGCGTGCATGACGTTCAGACCAGCCGAAGACATTGCGCAGCCCCCAACCATCATCGAGTCGAGACCTTGGGTTATGGCATTGCGAAAGGGTATTAAGGCGCTGAGGCTAAGCTGCTCCAAGGACTCCGTGATAATGGGGACATCTAGAGCCGAGCCCAGGAACTCTAGATTGCCGTAGGAAGGGAAATGCTTTCCCATGGTGACGACACCGGCCTCCTTGTAGCCCTTCATAAAGGCCACGCCATAGGCCGAGACCTCTTGTGGGTCGTCGCCAGTTGTTCTTACGCCCAATGGCTGGTTGCGCGCATTCGTCAACACGTCTAAGCAGGGGCCCATGATCCAGTTGATACCACATGCCGCAATCTCCTGCGCGGTTGCCTTTGCAACCTCAAAAGCGAGGTCAGTTGATCCAGTAGCGGCAATGCCCATGGCACTCGGGTACTGGCGGATATAGATCTCGTCAAAGAGGCTGTTGACACCCCCGTTCTCCTGGTCCACGCCGATGGTCAATGGCACCGGGTGGCCGGAATCGTGGGCGCATTTCTGTAGCTCGTAGCATAGCCGCGTAGTTTCCTCTGCGGCTACAGGCATTCAGCAAGTCGCTCAGGCATCACCAGGTCGCGCGCACAGCTCACATTTTAGATTTTTGGCGGTGAGCAGGATGGAACCGATGTGATGCTGCTCAATCAATTGGCGAATCTGCGGGGTGACAGAGGTCCCATCAAAGCCCATCATAAACAACTGGCCCTGGACACCATCGTCAGCGTTGCGGTCGTCAGCAGGCGCATGTCGCATACCAGGGTCCTGACAGCCACCGTTAGCAACGTCACATGTGGGCGTCCTGTCGCGACTCATACCAGTCCGAGTTGTCCCAGAAGGGATCCAGCGCAGCTTGCTTGCCAACCATGCTGCTGCTCGTCGCCCCGCAGTCGAGCGGGAACGGGCTGACGAATACAACGGGGCTTGCTCACGACGCGGGCCAGTCGAGTTCACCTGCGAGGCGAAGTGGTATTGAGCATGTCTGCAACGTCCGGGGAACGGCGCGGTCGGAATCGGGCAAGGCGCCCTTGGCAGGCTGGCGGCAGACGTTATGTTACACGCGGGCGGCAAGTCATCCCTTACCATCTAGTGCGTGATGGTTGTGGGTGATGAGTTGACGTTACATTTCTCCAGGCTGATCTTCATCCTCGGCTCGTCGACGCTCGCTTCTTGGCTTCGTTGCTTGGCTCTGCTCCCCCCGGCCTCCTCCACGTTACCCACCACTTGTCATAAGGCTGATGCACTGTGTATGCTACCATGACGCTGCCTAGCAAAGAATGCTGCGGCGCCGTCCCATATCATGGCCGTGTTTCCGTTGCTCGAGCTGTGCAGTTTCACAGCCAGTAGCAGATTTTCATTGTCAATACTTCCCTTGCGCCCGACATGCCTTCCGCCCTCCCGAGAAGGCGCAGCGGTATCACAAAGCTCACCAACTGCCACATCATCAAAGACAATCATTTGCTTCAAGAAGACGTGTGGTTCAGCTCCCTCTCCGGCAAGGTGCTGCAGAGTCAAGAGATTTTCTACGAACAACAGCTCGTGCCTGACCGCACCGTCGACCTCGGCGGCCGCATCGTGTCGCCTGGTTTCATCGATGTACAACTCAATGGCGGCGTTGGATTTGATTTCTCGGTGCTCCCGGATGACATTTCCCTCTACGTTAAAGGCGTACTACGCGTAAACAAAAGCCTCATCGAGACTGGCGTCACGTCCTATCTCCCTACTCTGACAAGCCAACGGAGCGACGTCTACCGAAATGTCAGTGGCTTCTCAAGGTTTGTCCCGCAAGTGGTACATGCCGTTGACTCCAAGTTAGGTGTTGCCGTACCTCGGCCCCTCCGGTTCCAGAAGAAACGCCTCTGATGGCGCAGAGTCTCTCGGTGCGCACTGCGAAGGGCCTTTCATGAGCCCTAGCAAGAACGGCATACATGATCCATCTGTCCTTAGAACAGCGCCAAACGGCATCGTAGATCTCGAAGAATGTTACGGTTCCGAGAACATGCAAAGCCACAACAGTCCCATCAAGCTCATGACGCTGGCGCCCGAGCTACCAGGAACACTGGCCTGCATCCCCCAGCTCAAAGCGCGTGGGATAGACGTTTCAATCGGCCACTCCGAAGCGACGTTCGAAGAAGCTGGCGCAGCCATCGACGCAGGTGCAGTAATGATCACGCACCTCTTCAACGCGATGCGGCCGCTACACCACCGCAACCCGGGCATCTTCGGCCTGCTCGGCACCTCGGCGCCGCAGAAGCCCTTCTTCGGCCTCATTGCCGACGGCATCCACCTGCACCCGACAACTGTCAAGATCGCGTGGCACGCACATCCAGATGGTATGGTTCTGGTGACGGATGCGATGGCGCTCGCGGGCCTCGCCGACGGTGTCTACGACTGGACTAATGGGTCGCGCATCATCAAGCGCGGCTCGGTACTCAAGCAGCAAGAGACGGACAGAATCGCCGGTAGCGCCGTCCAACTCATCGAGTGCGTCAACAACTTTCTCAACTGGACCGGCGCAAGTGTTCCCAATGCCATAAAGGCGGTGACCGCCACACCCGCGCGCATGTTGGGATTGGAGGGTGTCAAAGGCTCGTTGGAGCCGGGCGCTGATGCCGACCTGATTGTGCTGGATGAGGTGGTCAATGTCGCTGGCGAGAGGAAGCTGAGTGTCGACCAGGTGTGGAAGTTTGGCCAATGTGTGTTCGACGTGGAGCAAATGGCTTAGAGCGAGGCGTGTTTGTCTAGACGTGGATAAGATTGGACTAATTCTCGCAGGTTGGAACTCAAATTTGACTGGCTTATCAGAGAAGGATGCCGTGAATACTTATAGATTGCGTATAGTTATTTTGAAAGACCACTAGATACTCTGGTTGTTTGTATGTAGGTACTATGGCAAAAACAGCCACGGAGTTTTATTATAGAAGAATAATTTAGTTGCATATTTTATGAGTGCTTTCCCTGTAATTTGTACTGGAAATCGAAGGTGATTATGTAGTCGATAGCCATGTTGGGATTCCGTGTAACCCTAACTCGACTTACAGAGTACTAGCCTCCAGATTATACTTTGGGTTTCATGCATCTCAAGCCGCTTTGGACAATTCGTTCAGCTTTTAGTTGAACGCACAAAGCAAACTATTAACGGCAAACAAAAGACTGCCACCATCTAGCTAGAAAGTTAAATGGAATTAATTCATACTCGGTCATTGCTATTTGATTATTTCATGACCATCCGTCGGAGCCTTGGCTTACGACCAACGGGAAGAAGTGTCTTTTGACGTCCTACGGTGGGAATCATAGACAGTTGCGCGCATTCGAACAAGTCCATGTCGAGACGCGGGTCGCCCAGTCGGGAGTTCCGGAGGCCTGTTCCAATAGGCTTCGGGTGCTTGATGGGGGCGAAGATGGACCGGACAATGGCACGAATGGATGTTTGCATACGTGTAGCGGGCGGCATAGCAGGTGATGATGATGGGACAAGGCCATTTGGCGGGTGACAGCGATGGCGGGCGCGTGTTTCGCATCATAGCATTGATGCTCCTTCCACGGCGGCGGCGGCGGCGGCGGCGTGACGAGGCGGGTCTTGGCCGAGCACCGACCTTCAAGCTGCTTCACCGTCCGCAAACTCGTCCCTCTCATCGACTTGCCAACTCCCAGCCCTCCACTTATGCTCCTCTTGCAGGCCGCCTGATTCTACTCTTGTTTTAATCCTCCTTTTCGAGCAGGTCTTCCGAGGCTCGCCCCGTCTTCACTAGCGGTCGGGCACACCTTGACCTCCAACATCGTCATTCGCATCTGCGTTGACGTATCACCTTCCTCCCCCCAAATCCATCATCTTCAAGCCTGCACTGCAGCACACATCACATCATAATGTCTGACGTGCAGTCGAGGCCTTCCGCCTCGCGCGGCAGGTCCTCTGCTCGCGGAGGCCGCGGTGGATACAGCTCGCGCGGCCCTAGAAGCAAGGTCAACGGCCACAATGGCGCAGGCTCAATCGACGCATCCACCGAAGAAGGAGAGCTCGGTGAGCTCAGGCAGCAGTACGATATCCAATTGAAGACCATCAAGGATACCTTCCCCGACTGGACCGACCTGGACTTGCTTCTAGCTCTGCATGACAGCGATGGTGACCTTCAGCTCACCAGCGAGAGGATTTTGGAAGGTTTGTCGCAGCCCGTCGCTGACCAAGTGGCATGAAACGTCTGTTGCAAGGCTAACCCAGCGCCATCAACAACAGGACAGATCTCTCAGTTCGCCGACGTTCCCAAGAAGAGCGACAGATCCCGTTCCAAGATCAAGGATAGCACCGCTGCCGATACCGCCCCTTCGACTGCTTCTACTCGCGGCAGGGGCCAGAGCTCGCGTGGAGGCCGTGGACGTGGTGCCGAGCGCGGCAGAGGTGGATTCCGTGGTCGTGGTGGGGCTCATGCGCCCAACGGCTCCCGTAATGCTACTGGTGGTGGAGCGTCTGTACCGACTAACGAATCTTCTGCTTGGGACGCCACGCCATCAGCAGATGCTCAGGGCACTCCCGCTTGGGACAAGCCGACCGGGACTGAGACCAAGGATGGAGCTGCGGAAGGTCAATGGAACAATGCTACCACCTCAGAGGCCGCTCCAGCGGCAGCTACCGAGGGCGCAAAGAATGCTTCGGTGCCCGAAGCCCAGCCGAAGAAGACGTGGGCCAGCATGTTCGCGAAGCCCAAGCCTGCGCCCGCCCCTCCGAAGCCTGTCGCTGCGGCGCCACCTCCAGAGCCTGCAGAGCCCGCCCCTGCCCCTGTTCAGGAAGAACCCGAGCCTGTCAAGGAAGAGACTCCACCAGCTGCGCAAACCGAGGAGCTCCCCATTCCGCCAGTCGCCGACGAAGCCCCCGCCGCCGAACCAGTTCAGCCCGCTGCCGAACCGCCCGTTGCCATTCCCGCCGTTGCGGAACCGACCCCTGCGAACCTTGCCCCGCCCAAGGAGGAGCTTACTGAGGATAACGTCGAGCGCATCCCAGATGCGTCTGTGCCTGCACCGACGGGCACTGCGGCTAGCACCGTTGCTAGCGGAAGTGCGATTGGCGTCGCGACGCCTTTGACTGGACCGAAGGGTGGAGCTGGTGGCCGTCCTCCGATGGGAGGATTCCAGACCAGTGCACTCAAGGCGACTGGCGTTCCCGGTCGTAGCTCCAGCTTCCAGAGGAAGGTTGTTGAACAACAAGAGGCTGTCGTCATGCCTGGCAACCACGCGGTGGATCGCGCTGCCGTTCAGTTTGGAAGCATGGGTCTCAACGGCGAGCCGGACCTCGATGTAGACGAAGACAGAGAGGAGGCCGAGACTCGCACGCAACCTCCCCAGCACTCACCTACCCAGCAGCCCCGGACTTCTCTCCCTCCTGCGCCGCGCCAACCGTCTGGGCCCACGGAGCCTCAAATCCAGGACTCGGTTCCCACGCCCAAGCAGGCCCCTGGCCTTCCTCCCCCAGTTGCGCAGGCACAGCAGCCTATTGCACCCCAGCAACAGTCGCCGGCTGTCGGCACACAGGCTGCCCAACCATACAGTCAGTTTGGTCGCTATGGACAGCCCGTCATGCACTCTGAGCCAGCTGCGCAGACGCAGAAGCCGTATGATCCCTTCGGCGCGCCTGTTTCGCAGCCCAGCCAGTTCGATGCATTCCCCACGTCCCAGGCTCAGACTATGCCTCAGGCTCAGGCCTCCCTCGGCGCTTTCTCAACCGCGCCCAACGATTACTCATCATACTACACGTCTGACCAGCAGCGCAACGCCTACCAGAATTACTACGGTGCCGGTTATGGTCAGCAAGCTGGTGGCAGTCAGCAAGAAACCGACGCCTCACAGAGGGCTGGTAGCGCTTTCGGGCCTACCACCGGTGAAGCGACTTTCCCCACCAGCCAATCTCAACAGGTGAGCTATACAGGACCCGTTCTTGACTTTTTAAAATCAGAATCTGACTTTTCGAGGCCCCTGGTCGTTACGGCGATGCCCACAACAGCGGCCAGAACACGCCCGCCCCTACCATGGCTGCGCAACACACCGCTGCTGCTCAGTCTCAGCACTTGAACCAGCCCCACGGCCACGCTGGTCACAACGCTGGTTTCCCTTACGGCGGACCTGCCCACCCCTACTACAGCAGTCCTTACTACGCAAACTACATGAGCCAGTACGGTGGCGGCTACGGCCAAAACTACGGCGCTCCTTTCGGCGGAAAGGGCATGTACGCTGGAGCCCACCACGGATATGGTATGTCGCCTGCCACCACTTACGACACACACGCTGCCTCTCCTGCGAACGTCGGTGGTTTTGGTGCTTCCTCGATGCACGGTCGCGACAACGCTCTCGGCGCAGCAGGCCTCGGCGACTACGGTCGCTCCAACTCGACCCAGCCAGCCCAGGCTCAACAGCACACGGCGAGCAGCGGCGCATTTGGCGGCATGCCTGATGTCTTCGCTCGTAACCAGAGCATGTTCCCGGGCCAGAACCAAGCCTATGGCCAGCAGCAGCCCGGATCTCAGGCTGGAAACGACGATGCCTTGAAGCCTTTCGGTGAGAAGGCTGCTCCCGGCCCGAGCCCGTCTTCTATTGGACAACCCGGTCGCCCCGGTTCTGCCACCAACAACTCGGTCGGCCAGGGCGCGCAGACAGGCCTCCCGCCCCCGCAGTCGCACCAGCAGGGCTTCGGCGGGTACCCTGGCTCGCAGTACGGATTGAGTGGTCTTGGTGGCGCCCACCAGGGTGGCCAGAGCTACGGCGGTTATGGTGGTTTCGGTGGCGGCTATGGAGGATACAGCGCCCGCGGTGGTTGGGGCGGAAACTATGGTCATTAAGCAGTTGGCGTTCAAGGAGGCTTTCACCCGGTTATGTTCTCTACAAAAGCTTCTTCGCATCTCATTTCTCTTCAGATGAGAAAATGTGGATAACTGGGCTGGAAACGGAATCGGGTTTTTGCAAATGGGAACGGGTCAATCGGTTTTTTCGACAACGGATCATTCACGAGGTCGAGGTGTGTAGGTTGCATGGATTTTAACTCGCGGCTTTCATCGACTTCGTGGGACGGAACGGATGGATCATGCGCATGAAGTGAGGGTTTTGTATTATCACAATAAGGATCTCTAAAAAAAAAAAAGGTCGCTTTTTCTTCTTTTATCTACTCGGCTCTGACTGGCGACACGTCAAGGCGCTTGCCTAGTACGGCGTCCTACACACCTACCCGGAGCGTCTCCGACTGACGCCAGCGGAGGTGGTCTGTGCCCAAAATCAAAGATGCCCAGCCGCAGAAAAGTCGCCGCGGACTTTTGTACAATCTTCACCTCCGCCTTCCCCACCACATCTCCTCGCAGTCCCAGATCCAGCGTCAAAGATGGCTGAGCAAGACCTTATGGCCGGCATGGCCCACTCTGAAGCGCACTACTTTAACAGGTATGTCCCCGCATCCCTCTCCAAACCGTCGCACTCGTTGCTAACAGGCCTCGCAGCTACAACCACCATGGTACGTCGTTTTGCACACCTGCCAGAGATGAAGACGATGAGCGCTAACCAATCGCAAAGGCATCCACGAGGAGATGCTGGTAAGTATTGCGCGCCATCTTCTATCGCGACGTATGTCTGACGTGAATTGCAGAAAGACGAAGTGCGCACGCGCTCGTACCGCGACGCCATTTACCAGAACGGCCACCTCTTCAAGGACAAGGTTGTCCTGGACGTCGGATGCGGTACATCCATCCTTAGCATGTTTGCATCCCTCAATCCTAGCCGCCTACAGTCTGCTGGCAGATCCTAATGCGCCTGCGAAAACAGGTTCGCCGTGAAGGCTGGCGCGAAGCACGTTATCGGCGTTGACATGTCGACCATTATCGAGAAGGCTCGTGAAATCGTCGCCGCCAACGGCATGTCCGACAAGATCACTCTGCTGCAGGGCAAGATGGAGGAGGTTGAGCTGCCCTTCCCCAAGGTCGACATCATCATTTCCGAGTGGATGGGCTACTTCCTGCTCTACGAGAGCATGCTCGACACCGTGCTCTACGCCCGCGACAAGTACCTGGCGCCCGGTGGTCTGATTTTCCCCGACAAGGCCACCATCTACATGGCTGGTATTGAGGACGGCGAGTACAAGGACGAGAAGATCGGATGTAGGTTCCCTTTCATTGAAGGTCGCTGGCATTAGCTGACCAGTGTACAGTCTGGGACAATGTTTGGGGCTTCGACTACACTCCCCTGAAGAAGACGGCCATGACTGAGCCTCTTGTTGACACCGTTGACATGAAGGCTGTCGTCACCGACCCGGCTGCTGTTTTCAACATCGACCTCTACACGGTTAAGAAGGAGGACCTTGCTTTCAACGCCGAGTACTCCCTCAATGTTCGCCGCAGCGACTTTGTTCACGCCATCATTGCATGGTTCGACATTGACTTTACCGCGTGCCACAAGCCCATTCGCTTCTCTACTGGCCCTCACACCAAGTACACGCACTGGAAGCAGACTGTCTTCTACCTCGAGGACACTCTGACTGTCGAGACTGGTGAGAAGATCGTTGGCCGCATTGACAACAAGCCCAACGAGAGGAACCCCCGTGACCTCGATATCGCCATCAGCTACAAGCTCGAGACCGAGGACATGCACCGCCAGGCCCAAGGTGATGGTTCCTACAGAATGTAAGCTGAGTTTTAGGCCATATGGATTTTTCGCTCGCTAACATGCCGCAGGTGCTGATGAAATCAACCCGGATTGATTTCACATCACGGTCTTCACTCCGTCCTGAGCAGAAATGTAAAGGACGTTGAGTTCACGTCGCTCACCCAGCAGTTGCACCCATAGCGCTGGGATGGCTGGACGTTTTTCATAGATGCATGGCACCTTGGCGTTACAAAGCAGCAACAGGTTTGGCGGTACATGAAGGTTCATCTTGGTCCAAGAGGAGGAAGGTCATACCTGGAAGCAAGGTTAATGCTCGGTCATGAAGCCCCTCACAGGATCATCAAGGAATTCAGGAAAAGTTATCAAGTTGGCATAGGCAGAAATGCGATACCGCCCCGAAATTATGGCTCTCTCGAAGACACTAACGAAATCATCCTGTCATTTCTTAGTGTCATTATTTTTCCAAGTCATCACCGTCGTCCTGGGTTTCCCCTTTACTGATGCGGCAGCAGGGCGTTGAAGGAGTATGTACTGACGGTGTTTACGGGGCCCGAAAGCTCGGTTTCTTGGCAGTCACAGGTTGCTTCGCCGGACGTTAGAACGCTGACCAGGGGCTCGGCCCTAGGAGTACGGGGATCCGAGCTAGTTCGTTTCAGTCGGTCAGAGTCTAGAAGGCCTCCGGGCTGCGGTCAGGGTCTGCAGGAGGTCTCGAAGGTTGTTACACCAGTTGTCACGAAGCCCTGACTCGAGCAACATGAGATTCTCTGGAGTCGTACTATAGTCGCACAACAGCCAACACCATGGGGGGACTGCCGGCACGCTAATGGCGAAGAGAAGATGTGCGGAGCGCAACTAACTCATTGTCGATTCTCATCTTGCCAGCGATAATTGCTCTTTTCTCCTATTACATATTCGCTTTCTGTCGAGCAAAAGGCCAGATTCCGCGGCACGACGCCTTGTAGCTCAATGACGCATGAATTGGTTTCACGGACTGGTCGGACAAGACGCCCTGGCAGGGCGATACTTTGGTTAAGCCACGGGACGCCGTTTCCGCTGACGTCTTCTCAACGCCCCGTTGGACCAAGCCGCGGGCCAGGCATCGTCTCAACGGCGAAGCTGAAGCAACCAGGGCTGCCAGCTTGCCAGCATGGCCGTTGTTTCGAACAGTGGTGAAGAGAAGCTTGTGAGCGCACCACCGTGCGGTCTCACGGGTGGGTGGACTGACAAGGCGCAAGCAAAGACCATCGGATGAAGAGGGAATCGCCACTGGACGCCTCAACCGGCCGGCACTGCGCACCTTCGACATCACGACTTCGGATTGTGCGTGTCGGAAGAAAGAGAAAAGATCAATGGCCGGGGAATTTTTGATACTCGCAGCTGAGGGCGCAGATCCGCAATTCGATCCGGGACCCTATTCCATCGATCGGCGAACCCAATCTGCACCTAACGACCCACGAGGGTGAGTGAAGACCTCTTTTTGCACCCTCGCTCCGACGCTCGTGGGACCCGGACCTATGAGGCGCGGATCTAGTTGCCGTCATTGGTGCGCTACGGTAATAGCATGCACATAGCGCGTTGCTAGAGGTTGCGCTATCCTTGCCGCCATGCCTAGCTGACAGATGGTGCGAGCTTTCCGCGATCCGTCTCCGGCTGGATGGCTGCTCGAGGGGCGGAGGGCACGCGCAAGCTGGGGGGCGCGACGGACTTTTGATAGTGCAGCTGCTCGCAGGCTGCCTCGTTATTCCTCCACTACTCTTTCTCCGTCTTCACTAGCCTGCGAGTCTGCAGTCGACAGAACAATGTCCAGGTATCTGTCTGCTCAAGAGTCGCTCTTTGTTGACGACGGCTTCCGTCGGTAGGTTCCGGGAAAGAAACTACCCCCTCCGACCCTTTAACTGCGACATCGAGGCCGGTTCCTGACCTGGGAAAATAAAGATACCATGACACGCATCGGCCATATATAATCGAAGAGGAAGACGAATACAACGATGCCGCACCGCCGGTACCCGTACCTCGATACCGCGACTATGGCGTAGAAGACTTTCGAGACCAAGTGCGAAAGCGAGCCTCCCTTCCCCTCTCAAGACCGAAGACTTGTCTGTACCGCTCCACGGACTCGATCGTTTCCAAGTGCACATCCTTCCACACCAACGGAGCCGGGATAATTTATCGCTCGGAAATCGAAACCGTGCCCACGTTGACGCGAACTCCATGGGAGCAGAATCGGGGCAGCAGAAAAGTCATCTCGGCCCCTATACAACAGCCCGTTCGGCGCCCTCGCGGCTTCCAGCGCCTGCCCAAGGAGGTCTATGATTGCATACTGCGGCAGTTGGAGGTTTTGCATTTCGGAAAGGGCTCCAGGAGCTGCACGACGTGCTACCTTCAGGACGTTTATAATGTTGGACTGGTGGGCCGCGCGTGGGACAAGGCGGCAAGAGCACAGCTGTAAGCTAGGGAAAAACAAAGAGGTCTTGGGGGACATGAATATGAACTGACGTTTTTTCCAGCTACACGAGCTTGTGGATGCCGCCGCCAGACCAGAACGAAAGCAAGTGGCCGCTGGCGCGAAAGGCGAGCCGGCTGAAGCTGCTGCGGAAGACGCTGCGCGAGCGGAGCGCGCTGGCGAAGCAGGTGCGCGAGATCAAGGCGGCGGAGCTGCAGCACGTGTTTGTGCAGAGCAGCTACAAGGAGCAGCAAGAGCTGGTGAACGAGCTGGCGTCGGTGGTGATGGCGTGCCCGAAGCTGGAGCGGCTGGTCGGCTTCCACTGGGCGTACAACCACGACTTCGACCGGCTCAACCACGCCCTCTCGACGCGGACGCAGCTGCGCGAGCGCGCGTGGATCATCGCCGCGCCCGTCGACGCGCAGCCCGCCGCCCGCCGCGCCTTGCACCACCACCACGCCGCCTTCGAGCTGTACCCGGGCCCGACGGAGCTGTTCCTGCACCACCACGACCACGCCGCCCAGCTGCGCACGCTGCTCCTGCACGGCCAGAGCAGCGGGACCATGAACTTCCGCGCCTTCGTCGCCACGTTCCGCAAGCTGCCGCAACTACAACACCTGCATATATCCAACTTCGCCCCCGACGACTTCAACGACCGCACCCTCGCCGCCGTCCCGCCCCTGCGCGCTCTCCGCCTCGAAGACTGCCCCGGCGTCACCGACAAGGGCCTCATGCGCTACGCCGCCTCGCCCGCCGCCGCCCCGCTGCGCTCGCTCCTGCTGATCCGCCAAGAGGTCATCGACCTGCTGGTGCTGATGGCCTTTTTCAAGAACCTGACGCGGCTCGAGCGCTTTTCGATTGTGCAGGACAGCTCGCCGGGCGTGCACCCCGGCATCCACATCCGGCGGCCGGTGTTCGCGTCCCTCACGCTCGAGTTTCTGCATTGGGATGTCCTCATCCCGGGACCCGCGACGCAGGAACTCAGTATCAGTGTGCGGCAGGGCGCGTTTCCGGCGCTGCGCACGATCCGCGCGCCCGCGGACCATGATGGCAGATTGCAGGACTTGTGCAGGCCGGTGGCGGGCTTCTTGCCTCCCCCTTCCCCTACCTCTCCTACGTCGCCCCTCACCAAAACCCCCTCCGACCCCTCCCGCGCAGACTCAGCCCACGCCCCCTCCGCCGCCAAAGACGAGGAAGACGACGACGACAACGCACACTACGCGCGCTCCCTCCCGCACGCCCGCCGCGCCGCCCAGCAGCGCATCGCGCACGCCGCGGCGACGCTCGCGCCCGCCATGCGCGTCGTGGTGGAGGACGCGGACGCGCACACCATCGAGACGGTGTTTGATATTCGCGGGTACATGGGCACGGTCGGGAGCCGCATTACGTACTCGCTTGAGCCGGACATAGCGGGGAGCGAGGAGGCGGTGGTCGAGGTCGAGGATCTGCTGTGTCCGCCGCCTGTTGTGGTCGCGGCGGGGGAGGGGACAGAGGCGGAAGAGGCGCTGTGCGTGGGGTGTGCGTTCGCGGGGTGGAGTACTGCGGCGCGGGATAGTGGGCCGGGGGCGGTGGGGAGGCGGAGCGCGGGGGGCTGGTTGCATGCGCCGAGGGAGCGGGTCAGGGTCGTCGAGGTTATGGATTTTTTCTAGTGTTGCTTGGGCTTTGTTTGGGGTTTTGCTTTGCTTAGGTTGGTGTTGGGGTGGGTGTTTGTATTTTTCTGGTGTTTTCGGGGTTGGTTTGGTTGGAGTTCTTGTATGTATACATACGTATGTGCTGCGCGTGGTGGGTATACCCTAGGCGGGGCTTTGGTTTGGGCTTTGGCGTCTTAGTTCTTTCTTGCTATTGCTGCTTCTTTCTGGGTGAATGGGATTCAAAACAAAGAGTCTTTTATTCGATTGGTTACACATTGCACTCGGCTCTCGAAGCTAGGTCTAGAAAATAATAGGTAACTCATACCCCTCTATCATTTCCATCTTTTGTGAGTCACAGTTTACGGTCCACGCTCACCATCGTTACCAACCAATTACGTTGTGGAGGTTGTTGCGGTAGTAGAAAAATCCAAGGTAGGAGAAAAATACAAAATTCAATGTAGGTCTATCAATTTCAATTTCAATGTCTGTCATTTTCAATCTATGTTTTGCGAGCAAGCAAGAACTCCGTGAGTCTATAACAGAAGCCAACCCCGTCTATAGCAGAAAGCCAAACCGGTCTATAGCAAAAGGAAAACCAAGGGAAAAAGCAGTCAATCAGTAGCAAAGGGACAAACCCGACTTACCAACATCATCATTCTAGTTGTCATCTCAGGCTGTCAGCGGAAGTTTGGACGTCCTCCTTTGCCTGGACGCCTTCTCTGACGACTCCCGTCTTGAGCTCCTTAGCAGTCAGAACATCCTGGGCCCACTGTTCAGCCAGCTCAATCGCCTTGAGAGGATCGTCTCTGTGGATCAGAAGGAATCCTTGTATCTCTGCGGGCGTAAGCTTGGCGCAAATGCCCAGCGAGTGCGATCGCGAATGAAGACTTACCGGTACCGCCAGGGCCGTGGAACAACCAACCTCTCCTGTAGGGAATGCCTCGCCTGGCATACCAACGCCTAGCAGAAGGCTTGAAGTATGCCTCGGCATCCCGGATCAACGTATCTCTGATGTCTCCATCAAGGTCAATGGTAGACATTGGCCGTCTTGGCTTACCAGCAGACCTATTCCAATCCACTTCGCCTGAGTGTCTGATCCAGTTGTGGATAGTTGTATTCTCTGCCGTCCGGTTCATCATATCCATTCTGGATTCTTGTACGAGCTTCTTCAATGGCTCTACGTTGTACCAAAAGCATCTGAGGACCAGATCTTCCATGCCTCTCATATAGCGAGGTTCTCCGTTTCCGGCTCCGCCTCTGAAGCACTCTGTTTTGAATTCCAAACTGGCACTGCAAAGGACGCATCCGTACCAGAAGAAGTATTTGACGCCTTCAACCATTCCGTATTCAACCTTGTCGTTTCCAAAGAATGTGACCTTTTCGGCATGCCTATCATAGAATGACGTAGAAACATTCGCGTCAATATGTTTCCCATTTTTCGAGAGATATTTCTTTTGCAGACAGTCATGAACATCCTCCCGCAGTGAAGAATACGGTCTCATATTAATGCTCGAGATGAGGAAATCGGGAAGATCCTCGATTCCCATGTTGCGAAGCTTGTTTACGAGCATGAATAGTGCAATCAGGGAAACCATGACCACTGCAACGCCAAGACCAAACTGGTCAAGAACAAGGCGAACTATCATCCCGTACAAGGGAAGGTTACCCAATGCTCCCATTAGGGGCATCTGCTGAAGCAGATGATATGCAGGGTAGATGGAACCCGGGAAGTTACCAGTGCCAGCGTTGAGGGCCAGCTTAGAAACAAAGTCCGTGAAGCCAGTTGCTGTCCAGCTAGTGTCCGTTGAGTTTGTCGTCCCCGTGTCGTTTAAAGACGTATTGAACGTCATGTTCGCCAGTGTAGCGATGTCTGTCTTGCTGTTAGTGAATTCCAGAATCGTCGTACTCGAAGAGGCGCTTTGGTGTCGATGCTTTGCTGTCGACTGCCTCTGCGCTGTCCGATTTCTGATTTTTGCTGCTCTTGTAGAAGAACACTGCATATATATGCGCTAGTTCTTTCATTGTGCTATTACTATGTTGGAGATTGCGTTGAACACGATGTTGATCAGTAGCGTAATTGTACAAGTACAATGCATCGTTCTTGTCAAACAAACAGTTTGTTCTCGGACAACTCACCGAGTGATAGCCACTAGGTCAGAAGAATGGATGAAATATGGCGGCGAAGACTACATACTGAGACCTTGTGCAACCTTTTCGGAAACCCCGCTATAGAGGACTTTCCAGAATCGACTGCGCTGGTAAAACTCTCGCCTTTTAGATGCCATGAACGTCTTGTTACGACGTTGTCTTGCATGCGGATGCCGGGGAAGAACTCAAAAGCCGGGGAATGAATACCTCACGAAGGATTGCTTCGGAGAATGGTTGCCTTCGCTTACGTCTGATGCGGGGTATGCTAACCCCACATCGCTTTAGTCTTCGCGTTCTGGTTGCCTATTCGGGACATTCTCGGGCCTAGCGCGACGAGGAGAGCATTCTTTCCCCGACCATCTATAACCCACATGCTGCACTACTTCACCCCGCAGAAAATGGTGGAGAGACATATAAAGATGGGGACGCACCGCATTGTCTGTCTGTTCTCCATCACATCAATCACAATCTTCTCTTCTCTTGAATCCTCCTTCACTTTTCTTCGCAACCATGCCACCAGTAACGAACATGGACTCACTCCACAACATGCCTGCAAAGGCACCCACCCAGAAAATCAACATCGCAGTTGTTGGACTGGGACGCATGGGCAAGCGTCACGCAAAGACACTCATGTACCGTACCCCCACCGCCAACCTTGTCGCCGTCTGCACAATCGCCGAGCCCGAATTGAAGTGGGCACGCTCCTTCTTCGGCCCTGACAGCGGGGTTACGGTTTTCGATTCCTACGACAAGATGCTTGAGACGCCAGGTCTTCAAGCGGTGTGGGTGTCTACCAGCACCGACCTGCACGCCCCTCAAAGCATTGCTGCTATCAAGAAAGGCCTGCACGTTCTTTGCGAGAAGCCCCTTTCGCAGAACATGGACGAAGTACGTAACTCCTTTTCATACTACTGAACATCTCCAGTAGCTCACACTTGAAGTACATTTATACAGGCGCGTGCGGTCGTCGACATTGCCAAGAAGAACCCGCAATTGAAAGTCATGGCCGGCTACTCCAGGCGGTTTGATGCGTCCTACCGTGATGCAAAGGCCAAGGTCGACGCAGGGGCAATCGGAAAGCCGTTTATCGTCCGCAGCCAGACTGGTGATCTGCGCGACGACACTGGATTCTTTGTCCGATATGCCGCCAAGAACGGAGCGATCTTTGTTGACTGTGCCATCCACGACATTGATCTGAGTATCTGGTACCTCGGAGAAGTCATCCCGAAGGCTGTGTGGGCCATCGGAACCATTTCACACCACCCGGAGCTTGCTGAGTCCAACGATGTTGATAACGGGCTTGCCTTGGTCGAGTACTGGGGCGGTAAGATGGCTTACTTCTACTGCTCTCGAACCCAGGGTCACGGCCATGACGTGGCGACCGAAATTATCGGAACCCAGGGCAAGTTGATGGTGAACGTTCACCCGCGCATCAACAGGGTCCAGCTTGCAGACAGCCGTGGAATCTCGAATGAAGTCGAGCCGGAGTACTGGGAGCGTTTCGAGGACGCATTTGCGACTGAGGCAAATGAGTTCTGCGAGAGCATCATTGAAGACAAGCCCGTTCCCTTGCCACTGGAGCTAGGCTTGAAGAGCTTGGAGATTGGCTGGGCTTTGCAGGATGCCCTTTGGTCGGGCAAGAACGTGTTCTTCGACAAGGAGGGCAACAGGATCGAGGAGGGTGACCGCGCAAAGCTATGAGCTGTCAGTCAGCTTATCGGCGGTACCTTTCAGCACTGTGGTGTGTCACAAGCTGTATGGCTCGAGGCACAGTCGAAGGATTGTGGCCGATGTGCGACTGCATGAAGGCTTCGCACGTAGTTTTAAGGGTAGCCTCGAGACAATTTTTTTTGGCGCTGGTATAGATTCCACCTCTTAGAATTTGAATAAATTTTTACAAAATCGACATCAGCATATAGCAAACGTTGTAGATTTCGGTGTTTCCACAATCGCACAGAAATGAAGTAAGCCAACCCAGATGTCTTGCGCACAAGCGTACGAGAAGAGCTAGCGTCGAAGTTGTAGGAACATATTGACCTGCTTTTCATGAACAATATGATCTGATGTTTTCTTCACATGCAGCACAGACCCCTCATTTGGAGACCGGCGTTAATGTGCGGAGCAGAAAACGGCTTGGGAGACTGGGGTCCACCCCTCCACTGTCCGACACGCGACATCATGTCGCTAGCAGGCACAGAGCGGGGCATTGCTATATAAAGATGACAGATCTCACAACTCCCACAGCAACAACGATCTGGATCCCAAGTTATCAAGGCCTCCTTTCAAATAATTTCAACATGGAGAAGCTCACCCAGAAAACATTTCAAACGTCCAGGTCCCTGACCTACACTTACTACGACACGGCGTCCGTCAAGCCGGGTACCTCTACTCCGGAAAAACCGACGCTTGTGTTCCTGCATGGCTTCCCGGACTCTGCTTTCCTTTGGTCTTCGGTTCTGCCGCACTTCAGCAGCCTTCCCAACCGGATTATCGTTCCAGACCTCCTCGGTTATGGCGGAACATCGAAGCCGACAGACCCCTCGCTGTACAACTCCAAGGACATGGCTGCCGACCTTAAGGAGCTGCTTGCTTCTGAAGGTGTCACGAAGATCGTCGTGATTGGCCACGACTGGGGCTCGTTCCTCGCTGCGCGCGTCTGGATCTGGCATCCCGAGATCGTCGTGGGTGCGGCATTTCTGAACGTTCCCTACATGCCTCCGGACACGAGCAAGCCGTTCAACCTCGAGGACTCGCTGCAGATGACGGAAAAGGCAACTGGCTTCCCAAGGTTCGCTTACTGGGAGCTCTTTACCGCCGATGATGGCGCGAAGGTCTCGGACGCCCACCTCGACAGATTCTGGTCAGCAGTGCACGGAGACCGCGAAAACTGGATGCGCGACATGTTCTGTGTGCGCGGCGCATTTAGGAACCATCTGATCAACGGCACCGATGTCGGACTTAAGGAGTATGCCAAGGAAGGATCCAAATGGGAGAAAGAGTGGATGGAACGGATGCGCAAGGATAGACTTGAGGCGCCTTTCTGCTGGTACAAAGCTATGGCGGATAACCACCATTACGAGGTTGAGAAGGGCATCTCTGCAGAGAAGTTGAAGGTTACCGTACCTGCTTTCTACCTCGGTTGTACCGGCGATGAGGTGTGCCTGCCGCAGTTGATCGAGATGCCAAGGAAGGCTGGTTTGTTGCCTGATTTGACTGTCAAGGTCATTGACAGTGGCCATTGGTGTACCATGGAGAAACCAGATGAAGTTGGCCAGAACCTCCTGGCGTTCATCAAGGAGAAGTTCTAAGCGTGGACAACGTTATCAACCATCTGAGTCAAGAAACCCTAAGTCCAGCTCTTGCCATTTGATGATGCCCGTCACCTTTAAGAGAGATTTGCCGTCTAGCGAGATAGGGAAGAATACAAGTAGTCCCTACAGACCATTCTTTGTATAGCTGCAAACCTTGGTCCTGGATGTGAATGCAAGGGTCTTGGAGCGCACACGTGCTACAAACATCTTAGCTGGATTACGTTTGTAGTCCGTACGAGCATCATCACCTCGTGAGGCGATGAATCTCACTTCATGGTAACGGACGTTACAATCGATTTCGCGCAAAATCATCTCAAGGAAGATGATTAACCCGAGGCTTTGAAGTCTTAATGACAGTAAGGATGTACTTCATCAGACGTACCACGCTTATTGCCACGGACGATGATGGAAAAGGCGAGTGACGCACTAACGCGCTTCGGCTCCTATTAGCGCCACATAGCAGCATGGAGTTGCATCTCGATACCTGACATGGTCCTTTCCACCAAACGGAATTTCTGCTCTTCAGGAGTGGAGAGGTTAGGCCCTGATGCGGGGCTCGAAGCGGTCCTATGATTCTCCGTTCGACTCTACGCACCTTTGAAGTATCTAAAGGGTCTTTAGAGCCATATTTCGGAACTGGAAATCCGAGATCCTATGCATATAAGCACCATGGCAGCACTGTGCGAAGTAAGTGCTTCTCAGAAGCGATACCGTCCTCTTTGGCAGGTTTCCATATCCCAAGGTCATACAAACATTTTCTCCCGCCTTCTACTCCCGGAGAGCCATTGAATCGTGGTTCATCACGATCAAATCATCAAAGTTCACGTGGAAATCCTTTCTAGTTGCTTGTTGTCTCATCGTCCAGTCTCATAATTCAGTCGTAAGAGATGGATAGTGTTTCGAATCAAAGACCAAAGCGAACTGAGCCCCGCATGCTCAATATTGGCGTGATTGGGATTGGCCGGATTGGGCGTCAACATGCCCTGAACGCACTTCATCATGTACCGCGGACGAGGCTCCTCTGTGCTTGTTCCCCGGCACAAGCTGACCTCGACTGGGCGGACGAACATTTGATTCCATACGGAGTCCATGTATACCGAACCTTTGAGGAAATGATCGCTGAGACTGGATTGGAAGCCGTCATCATCGCCTCCACCACCAAAGTCCACCATGAGCAAGTGCTCACATGCATCGGACGAGGCCTCCATGTCCTTTGCGAGAAACCTTTGGCCATGAGTGTCAAAGAAGCGCAAGATATCGTTGGAGTAGCTAAGAGACCTCAAAATGCGCATCTGAAAGTCATGACAGCATATTCTCGTCGATTCGATGATTCCTATCAGAAGGCTGTAAATGCCATCAAGGCTGGCAAGATTGGCGCTCCCGTAGTTGTTCGCAGCGAAACTCGGGACATGTACGACGATAGCGAGTTCTATCGGAGATACAAGATGGCCAATCCTGGTATATTCATCGACACCCTGATCCATGACATCGACCTCACTTTGGCGTTCTTTGGCGAAAATGCAAGGCCAAAGTCATGCCATGCCATTGGCACAATCTCATTGCACAAGGAGTTGTCCCAGATACAAGATGTCGACAACGCCACCGGAGTCGTGGAATGGTATCCTCAGTCCGAAACAGGGGTGGCTCCAATCTCTTACTACTTTGCCAGCCGGATCATGCGCCATGGGTTTGACAACCCTACAGAGATCATTGGCACAGAAGGAGCCTTGAAAATAAATCTGCATCCACACCGAGACCTGCTCATGAGTGCAGACAGGGATGGTATTGGAAACGATGTTATGCCGGATTTCTACGAGCGGTACGAGAAGGCATTTATTACAGAGTTAAAGATATTTGCGGATGCCGTCCTGGATGGGAAAGATATACCGTATGAACTTGAAACATCCATCAAAGGCATGGACATTGCAGCCGCCCTCCAAGAGAGCTTGAGGACAGGTGAGAAGATCAGCTGGGACCTGGACGGAAAGAGGCTCGTCGCTCCAAGTAAGTTGTAGGAGTATCGAACACTCAGAAGGACAGTGTCTGCGCGAAATATTGTCAACCATTCATAGCTTGTGTTACTTTTAGCTTTTTCGGTTAAGTGTCCAAATGCATTCGTTAGCCGTTTTAGCTCTTGTCAACGGGAGAGGCCAGAGACAGCTGATGTCGACTATTCTGGTACGCTGCGAAGAACAATTTGTATTCTGTCCATGGATGAAAGGAAGATGCGGACGCGCCGATGGATAAAATGCGTCATCACGCCATCACATGACCGGTCTTGGCATTTATCGTCTCCGTCGCCGCTCGCCCGCCTCCGCGTTCACTCAAACATACACCACAACCCACTTACAGCCTATCCACCATGGGTAACGATGGAGGAAGGTAAGCAAGCCCCTCGCGACAACACCTATACGGCTACTGACCAGTGCGCCTTACAGTATCCCCACGCGCCGCGAGCTCGTCAAGGAAGCGGCGCGCAACCCATCGGCCAGCGAAATAAAAGCCGCGCAACAAGAGCAAGAAGAGCATCTCTGGGCCACGGACCCAATAAGCAACCAGCCCCTCGAACGGCCCATAGTATCAGACTCATCCGGCAAACTGTACAACAAGAGCACGATTCTCGAGTTCCTGATCCCGACAGACGATCCCGCGGAGGAGGCCAAGAAGGCCGAGACCGAGAAGCGCTTGCAGGGCGCCGTAAAGAGCTTGCGCGATGTCGTCGAGGTGAAGTTCGAGGTCGACGCGGAAGCGAGGAAGGACGGAAAGGGCGAGACGTTTGTGTGCCCGATCACAAGCAAGACGTTGGGACCGAGCACGAAGGCCGTCTATCTCGTTCCTTGCGGGCATGCTTTTGCGCGCGAGGTGACGAAGAATGTCGCAGATGAGAAATGTCTCCAGGTATGTTTGAAGCACGCGAGACCGGACGGCCTGAACGTTGGAAGCTGACTGTAACAGTGCAACGAACACTTTGCCCCGAACGACGTTATCCCGATTGTCCCGACCTCTGAGGAAGACATCGCCAGGTTATCGCTAAGGACGAGGACCCTGAAGGAGAAAGGACTCACGCATTCCCTCAAGAAAGCGCCTGGCGGCAAGAAGCGGAAGAAGAACGCCGAGGCCGACGGGGAGGAAAAGCCGTCCAAGCAGAAGAACGGCTCAGCCAAAGACTCGTCCGCGCCTGCCGGTGCGGCAAAGACGAGCGACGGCATCAAGAACTCCGCGACGGCTTCGCTGACCGCCAAGGTCATGGCCGAGCAGGAGGAACGCAACAAGCGCCGCAAGACGGAGAACAACGACAATCTCAACAGCTTGTTCTCGTCGAGAGACCCCGCCAAGGTCAGCACGAAGAACAGCGATTTCATGCAGCGCGGCTTCACGTTTCCGTCTCAAACCAGTCGTTAGAGATATCTTTGCTGGTGTTTACATGGCATTGTGTTATCTTGTATTTAGGCAAGCTAGCGTTGCATTTCGAGGCGTTGAGGGTGCATGAGCTTTTGGTTAGCTACGGATTTGCTTCAGGGTGTATACGTGTACAAAGGGAAGGTCTGGGTGGATACCCTCAGAATTGATGAACGAACAAGATCTGTTTGACTTGCACATGCTTCTTCTATTCTCCCTCTGTGCGGCGGCTATGTCCTGGTAGCATAGTACATATGAGCTGAAAATAGCAGCATCAATAAATCACTCAAGTATCAACAGAAAGAAACAAACAAACACCACCATCCCCATAACGGACTTACTACATACGGCCAAGTCAATTTAAGCTTACAGCTAAGCATGAACTTAGATCTAAGTATCTACAGCTTAAGCTTAAGCTTAAACACCACCACAAACTTACGAATATTAATACCTACCTAGCTAAATATATAGAGGATGTAAACATCACTCTCCTTCGCCTTTATACAGCTACTACGCACTCACCTACCGGCGTCCGCGGTACCCTACCCTACCCCTCCCGTCTTCCTTCCCTCCGTCGAAGACCCTACCTAACCCAGCCTTATCACCCCAACCCCCCACTCCCGCTCACACCAGCATTATCACGCACACTCGGTCTCTATCCCGCATCCTCCTCTCCCTCCTCCCCCTCAGCACCACCAACCCAGCCTAACCACAACCGCACAACCCATCCCTCCCTAGCACCGGTGCCGACACCAAAAACCAACAAATACTACAAACAGCAAACCCATCCCCTCCCTGTCCCCATCCCTTACCCCAACGCCCCCCTCCCCCGGCACACCCACGCTCACGGCGTCCGCGGCCTCCGCCCACCCCCACCAAACGCCCGTCCCGATCCGATCCGGACCCACCTCACGCGACCGCGGTGCGCGGGTCCTTGACAACCCCACCCACCAGGCACGCATGCTACTGCAAGGTACGACGAGAGCGCAGCCCATTGGTCTCTTTCCCCACATGCATGTGGCTCGCCTAATTCTGCCGTTGGCCTTGCTGGTCGACCGTCGCTGCCGCTGCTGGCCGTGGAGTTGGGCGCTGATCGTTTGTTTGCTGGCTGCCATGGCTTGTGGGCGTGGCGTGACGGGACTGCGATACTGACAGCGATGGACAGCAGAGGGAGGGAGAGAGGGAGGGGAGGAAGTGTGTGTGTGAATGGGAGTGTAGGACCTAAAATCGTGGTGAGGATGAATAGCTATTCTCAAGTACGCATCTATGTACCTATGATCATTGTGATGTCTATTTGTTATTTGCTAACCATCTATCTTTCATATTCATTCACGCATAAACAGCACCAGCGACAGCGGGCGACGAGCCCATCGCTACAAATGCCGAGGATTAAAGAGGAAGAAAAAAAAAACGAAAGTAACCAGCCCAACGCCGTCCATGCACTCACTACAAAACCACCATGCACCCTTCAGCACTTACAACTTGGAGAAGACAGTCGCGACCTGGCCGCTCATGTCCACCAGCGTGCTCTTGTTGCGCACCCAAGCCTCCAGGCCCCTGCGGCCGTTCTCGACGCCCACACCACTGCTCTTCCACCCGCCCACGCTCATCTCCGCCGGGCTCTCGCCCCACGTGTTGATCCACGTGATGCCCGCCTGCAGCTGCTGCACCACCTTGTGCGCCGCGTTCAAGTCCTTGGTGAACACGCCCGCGGCCAGGCCCAGGGGCGTGTCGTTCGCGCGAGCAACCGCCTCCTCAACCGTCTTGTAGGGCAGGATGCTCATGACGGGGCCGAAGATCTCCTCGCGCACGATGCGCATGTCGTCGGTGCAGTTGGTGAAGACGGTCGGCTCGATCCAGAAGCCGTTGGTGGCGTCCGAGGGCACGCCCTTGGGCTGCCCCACACCGCCCGCCAGCAGCTTGGCCTTGTCCGTCTCGATGCCGTGCTTGATGTACGAGACGACCTTCTCGTAGTGGACCTTGCTGACGAGAGGGCCGAAGTTGGTCGCGGGGTCAAAGAGCGGGCCCGCGCGCACGTGCGCAATCTTCTCCAGCACGCGCTGCTCGAACGCGGGAAGCATGGCTTCGGGCACGAAAACACGCGTGCCGTTCGTGCACACCTGGCCCGTCGAGTAGAAGTTGGCCATCATGGCGCCGTCGACTGCCGCGTCCACGTCCGCGTCCGGCAGAACCACGCACGGCGACTTGCCTCCCAGCTCCATCGTCACGTACTTCATGTTGCCGGCGGCGGAGCCCGCAACCTTCTGTCCCGTGCTGACCTGTCCCGTGAACGACACTTTGGCGATACCCGGGTGCGATGTCAGGTACGCGCCGACGTCGCCCGCGCCCTGCACGATGTTGAAGACGCCGGGCGGCACGCCGGCCTCGGTGTAGATCTTGGCGAGCGTCTCGCCGTGCAGCGGCGTGAACTCCGAGGGCTTGTAGACCATGGTGTTACCGGCAGCCAGGCAGGGGGCCGACTTCCACAGGGCGCTGTAAGCAGGCTCGTTAGCAAACGGGTCCGCGGGACCAGGGTTAGGGGAACCAGGGCACGCACATCTGGATAGGATAGTTCCAGGCGCCAATGCCGGCACAGACGCCCAGGGCCTCCTTGCGCGTGTAGACCCACGCGTCATCGCGCAGCTGCACCGTTTCGCCATTCAAGCCACCGCCCGCCACCATGTTGGCAAAGTACTCGAGGACATCGGCGCCCGTCACCACGTCGACGCAGCTCGTCTCGCTGAAGGCCTTGCCCGTGTCGTACGTCTCGGCCGTGGCAATGTCGTCGTTGCGCTCGCGCAGCAGGGCCACGGCCTTGAGCAAGATGCGGGCACGCGCCATGGGCGGAGTCGCCGACCACGCCCGGAAGGCGGCCTGCGCGGAGTTGATGGCGGCATCGACGTCGGCGTGCGAGGCTTGGTCGATGGTGGCGATGGCCTGGCCCGTTGCCGGGTCCACCGTTTCGAATGTCTTGCCTGAAGTGGCGGGTTGCGGACGGCCCTCGTAGTAGAGCTGGCGGGAGCCGTAGCGGAGCGAGGAGGACGACATCCTTGCAATTGGCGGGGGAGGAAAGAGAGATGTGCTGGGGGAAGGAGCAGGATGGGGGGGGAAGAGTAGGTAGGTAGTGCTTGCCTAAACGGAAGGAACAACACACCCAACCAGGAGGGAAGCTACGTAGGAGGGCGCGCGGTTACGTACTCGGCGGGACTTGCAGCCGCATCAAACTTTTCGCCCGCTCGTGCCCTGTGGCCCGCCCTGCTCCACCTGCCGCCCCTCACCGCCTGCATGCGTCAGACGGCTAAACCCATTGAGGGAAGGTGGGCGGTCGGCCCTGCGTTTCGACGCTGTAGGGCCGGTGCGCGGGTTGCTCTTCCTCTCTGCCACCGTCGCGCTGTCTGACCGCGATCGCGCCCACCTCGCCGATGCTTAGGGAGTCGTACACCTCACGCGGCCGGCCTGGTGGGCTGACACCCGTCTCATCCACCCATTGCCCTTCTGTGGGGGGGCCATGGTTCGTAGTGCCGCCCTAGCTCCCTCAAAAAATCCGTCCTTTATATATCGCCGCTGAACCCTCGCTCCTCCCATTTTTTTTGCCAGCCAGTCGAGGAGCCCGTCGCCGCCCTAGCACCCGCCCTACTGCCACTTCTCTTCCTTCCGCCTTTCCTCTTCCTCAGCCCTATCACCCGCCGCCACCATGACTACCACTCAGCTGCCCGCCAACCTCGCCAATGACTTTGATTTCGTTATCGTCGGCGGTGGCACCGCTGGCTGCGTCATTGCCAGCCGTCTCGCCGAGTACCTGCCCCAGAAGAAGATCCTCATGATCGAGGCTGGTCCCTCGGACTTCATGGATGATCGCGTGCTGCTGCTCAAGGACTGGCTGAACCTGCTGGGCGGCGAGCTCGACTACGACTACGGCACCGTCGAGCAACCCATGGGTAACTCGCACATCCGCCACTCGCGCGCCAAGGTTCTCGGCGGCTGCTCCTCGCACAACACCCTCATTTCCTTCCGTCCCTTCGAGTACGACTGCAACCGCTGGGTCGAGCAGGGCTGCAATGGCTGGGACTTCAAAACCTTCACCCGCGTCCTGGTACGCTCCCCCGTGTGAAATGTGAAGAAAAACGAGTATGCTGACAGCCCGCAGGACAACCTCCGCAACACCGTCCAGCCCGTCCACGCCCGCCACCGCAACCAGCTCTGCAAGGACTGGGTCAACTCGTGCTCCACGGCCATGAAGATCCCCGTCATTGAGGACTTCAACAAGGAGATCCGCAGCACCGGCTCGCTCAAGCAGGGTGTCGGCTTCTTCTCCGTCTCCTACAACCCCGACGATGGCCGCCGTAGCTCCGCCTCCGTCGCCTACATCCACCCCATCCTCCGCGGCGAAGAGAAGCGCTCCAACCTGACCATCCTGACCAACGCCTGGGTCAGCAAGGTCAACGTCGAGGGCGACCGCGTCACCGGTGTCAACATCACCCTGCAGAGCGGCGAGAAGCGCGTCCTGCGCTCCAAGGCCGAGACCATTCTGTGCGCCGGCGCTGTCGACACTCCCCGTCTCATGCTGCTGTCCGGTCTTGGTCCCAAGCAGCAACTCACCGACCTGGGTCTGCCCGTCGTCCGCGACCTCCCCGGTGTTGGCGAGAACCTGCTCGACCACCCCGAGTCCATCATCCTGTGGGAGCTGAACAAGCCCGTCCCTGCCAACCAGACCACCATGGACTCGGACGCCGGTATCTTCTTGCGCCGCGAGATCCCCAACGCGGCCGGCAAGGACGGTAACATTGCCGATGTCATGATGCACTGCTACCAGATCCCCTTCTGCCTGAACACTGCTCGGTAAGTCGCATACATTACTTTTGCCCAGCATCAGAGAACTAACCTGCCACAGTCTTGGCTACGACACCCCCATCGATGCGTTCTGCATGACTCCCAACATTCCCCGCCCCCGTTCCCGCGGCCGCATCTACTTGACCTCGGCCGACCCGACGGTCAAGCCCGCGCTCGACTTCCGCTATTTCACCGACCCGGAGGGCTACGACGCGGCCACCATCGTCGCGGGTCTCAAGGCCGCGCGCGAGATCGCCAAGCAGGAGCCCTTCGCGTCGTGGATCAAGCGCGAGGTCGCGCCCGGCCCGAAGGTCAAGACGGACGAGGAGCTGTCGGAGTACGGCCGTCGCGTCGCACACACGGTGTACCACCCCGCAGGCACCACCAAGATGGGCAACGTTCTGCGCGACCCCATGGCGGTCGTTGACGCGCAGCTCAAGGTCCGCGGCCTCAAGGGCGTGCGTATCGCTGATGCTGGTGTCTTCCCCGAGATGCCCACCATCAACCCCATGCTTACGGTTCTGGCGGTCGGTGAGCGTGCCGCGGAGCTCATTGCTGAGACTTGGGGCTGGAAGGGCATGGAGAGGCAGAAGCTGTAAGTGCGTGCGTGTGTACGTGCGATGCGGTGTATGCGTGGAATTGTGAGTTGTGGGTTGTGGGTTGTGATTATGTGGGTGCACATATGAAGACCACTATATAAGGGATGCGGGAGTCGATTTAAACGAAAACGAAGACGACGAAGACGAAGAAGAAGATGAAGAGGAAGAGAAAAAGAGGAAGAGAAAAGAGGAAGAGAAAAAGAAAGAAAGAAAAGAAAACGCAAAGACGTGGACTTGGGATAGAAGGACTTTTTTGGCGCTCTTGGTTGGTGGTTGGATGGATGGATACCAGTTGCTTTATTTAATATTGTGCGTTGTATGAATGACATGGATCTTTTGCCGCGTATTTACCTACCTAGGTTGGGTTAGGAGTTGTGTGAGTGTGTGTGTGTGTGTGTGTGTGTGTGTGGTAGGGTTGTTGGTGATGGGTGTGTTTGTGTTGTCTTTTTTGGTGGTGTTGAGTAGGTTTATTTAGTAAAGGAGGATGAGGGTTGGTTAATGTTTTTATAATCCTATCCTAGGAGTAGAGATAGAAAGGTTACGAGGGGGAGGGGCTTACTTAGCCTAGTACTTTACTTAGTGCTTACTGCGCTTCTCTCCTTAATCTGTTAAGGCCTTGTAGGTAGGTCTTGTAGGTAGGTCTTGTAGCTGGAGCGGGGGTAGGTGAGGTTAGTTAGGGTTAGGGTTAAAATTTAGGAATTGGGGGTTAGGGATTAGGGATTAGGCTTAAGTGTAGTGTGTGGGTGGGTAGGTGCTTGTCTATTGTGTAGTGTAGTATAGTGTGGTAGGTAGATAGGTAGGTAGGTAGGTAGGAGGTAGGTAGGAGGTTTAGGCGCGGGATTGGGAGTAGGTTGTTGTTATTTTTATTGTTGTCGTAGCGAGGCGTGGTGAGGTGGTTGCGGTTACTGTTGCTGATAGGGCGAGGGCTTAAAGATAAAGTATAAAGTATAAAGCCTTGCCCTTAAAAGCACCTACCCACTTCTTACTCGAATAACTTAACACGTCGCCGCTGCTTCTGCTTCTAGCTAGTTATGTTGTGTTCTATACTTGCCTCTATGATCTGTCGTTTTATTTTCGCTACGCTCATGCATAGCTATATCGTATTGTATCACGCCTTACATTGTAGGGTTTAGTGTATTTGTGTGGTGCGTGATGCGTGATGTGTGATGGTTAGTACATGCATTGTCTCTTGGCTGAGAGTGAGGTGGATGTGGAGAGTTGAGTGGAGGTGATGGTATAGGTGAGGTGATGAGTGCGTAGGTAGACTATGGTGTAGTGTGCCTTACCGCGCTCTGCACTTGTTGACAGGTAGGTGTTATGCGTAGGTGTTGTACAGACACTGACGCACGCAACGCCATGCAGCTAGCAAGCGGCTCAGAGCGTGAAAGGTAATACAGCGCTTCCGCAAAATGACAGCTCATAGCCTTTGCGTGGGCGCGTTTGGGTGGGTGGGTGAGAAGTGTAGACCGACTGCGATGAGGATAACATGTACGCTAGGTACGCTTGCACACACTACACACACATCTCCCTCCGCGCAAGTACGCTGCAGGCGTTGCAGCTAGTCTGTGAGACGGTTCAGGGGGCGAAGCGTTGCGGGCCGTGCAGGATTGGTCGAGAGACAGGAGCGTAAGACTTGCGCCATAGCCGCCATAATGATGCAGCGCTGGGGCAACGCAGCAGCAAACCAGCTGCAGCCTCCTGAGGTGAGGAGCTTGGCTTTGCTTTGATTTTGCTGCAACAGCGTCTTTGAGACTCCTGCCTCTCCAGCTGCTGGAGGTTGGTGGTGGGGTTCTGCTCGTGTGCTTGCCGCATACAGCCGCTCTACCGCGGCATGCCTCGAGATCGGTACCATCGCCACGTACGTGGTTTGTACCACATGCGCTCGCATCTGAGGTGAGATGCGGGCATGTGATCCGTATTTACTCTTTTCTGTTTCGCGCGCGTGCTATTGGGCGGCCGCTGACCTATGATCGTGGGATTGTCGCCAAGCGAGATCGATTGTGATGTTGTTCTGAAGCTCTGGCTGTTTGGGAATGGCGGGGACGGAGCTCGTCAGATGGTAGATTCGTTCTAGCGCCCATGTGGGGGCGGATTGATGTACGCTGGCGTCTGCGCTGGGTTAGCCTTTGCTGGAAACTTGAGAGGTTGGTCGAGGGAGGTCTTGAGTGTCTATGGGAGTCGTGGGCACTTGAGTGCTCAGGGAGGGGAGGGGGTTCCAGTAGCGGAACATTAAAGCTGCTTGACTCCGTAGTCTAGCTATGCATCGTTCGAAGCTCTCGCCATTGTCCTTCGCCTTGGTCTCAATCACTGTCGTCTCACAAGGCTCCTTGCTCGCTGAACTGATTCTGCTTCCCACCAACCTCGACGTGCCGATCCTTGGAACACAGTAAAGGCTTTTCGACGGAAGTGGGAACAAGCTCCACATATAGTCTGGACATGCCTCGCGTTGCATAATAGTTCTAGCGGCAAGAGCGGTACCATCGCGGCAGTGTTCTCAGGAGACTGACCTGTTGCTTGGATGTCTTAGATCCTTGGGGGAGAGATGCTTCATCGTAAGGTGCGTTCATCGTCTGTGACAGTTTCAAGATTACGATCTGATCTTGGTCGGGAGACACACTGATTCGGTCAATTGTCATGCTGCAGCAGTCTTTCTCCCAGAATAGCTCCGGGTCGTGAGAGCGCCGGTTGGATGATACAATGGCTTGGTGGCTGTGTTGAAAGACTTTTGAGCATGTACGTTTGAGCGCGGTTTCGAAGAGCAGTACTGTGCAGGGGCTGTGGGGCACTGGAGATGGGAGTCTACATGGCCGTCACATGCTACCTCGGGGAAAAAGAACAATAGTGATTGTAGAATCTCCTCCTGATGGCGCTGACGACAATAATAATGGCAAGGAGCACACTCCACTAGTGTGGTTACAAACGGGGCTGGCGGGCCGGTGCGACAAAGCGGGACGGAACGGGATCTCACAGAGCCGCATACACCTTACCTTAGACGCACTCCGGCTGAAGCCGCCAACACCATCTCATCCACACGAGCTCCATCTGAAGCACGCTCTGGAAGTCGGCAAGGAGGTTAGGATAGGCGAGGAGTGTAAGCAAAAGACGCAGGCCCCGATGTTATGCCTGACGCGGCCTTCGGTCATGGGACTTCCACGACACCGTGACGGGGCCCATCCAAGCGAGCTCCTCACCTCCAACTCCGCCGCAACGCCACTTGCCTATCCGTGGACCTCCATCGACTTAGCCGAGATGCCTTCTTTTGGTATCGCACCAGGTTTTACGTACGGATGCGTTTCGTGTAAAGCGTCGCATTGGCCTTTGTGTAGCAGGCCCTTGTATATCTGGCGGATCTCCCAGAACCGCCGTTCAATTATAGTTGTGCCGGGCGCCTTCGATAAGCTCATCTTAGCATACGCACGTCTCACCGCTGCATATTGTCGAGGGCATACCGCTGTGTTGTCAAGGCTCTGCAGTTGTCGAAAAGAGAATCACTTCCGATCGTTACTCCACTCAGCACGCGTTCCTGAGCACAGTCCTCCCCTGCCTCATCAGCTTGCTTTTCCTTATACACGTACCAACAGCCGTCTTCCGGAAAAGCAAAAGCTTCTTACTCTCACAAACTGCCCACCAATTTACCCAAACGCCACAGGTTCGGCTTGCCTCTAACGCAAAACGCAGCACCGTCGTCCCGAGAGATCATGTCATCAGCGACGCCCCCGCGGAAACTATATCGGAAATCGCGAGACGGCTGCGGCCATTGCAAGAGGCGGAAAATCAAGGTACGTGGATGAAGTATACAACTTCGTCTCTCTCTCTCTCTCTCCTTCGCTCAGCATGCCTCTTTTTCCAGCCCTCCTTTCTCCCCTCTGCCTCCCACGTGATGGATCCCTTTCCCTCTGTCAACGTCTCTTATCAACGGATCTCCCAATTACCCCGCATTTAGCCCTATACATCATATATGATCATCACATATACCTAGGGGATCACCTTGCAACCAACGCAACCAAGGATGTCCTCGGATCTCCTCTACACGTGATGCGCTTCAACTAACGACACCCAGTGCGACGAAAGCAAGCCAGAATGCGGAAACTGCCTCAAACGGTCGATAAAATGCGACTATCCGACCATGGCGCAGAGAGCGCGCTCAGACAACCGCGCTGGTGGTCTGGCGTCTGCCGCGCTTCACAGCCTCCTGGACGCATGCTCCCCTGCCGAATACCCTCACACCATCGCCGAAACTCCTCTTGAAGAAGACGAGCTTGAATTTAGCCTCAACATGACCGACTTGCAGCTACTCCACAACTACACTACCTCAACCTGCATGACGATCTCCACCGAGCCGGACCTTCAAAACTTTTATCGAGTCGAAGCTCCGCGAATCGCGTTCGCTAACGACTTTGTTATGCGCACAATCCTTGCCGTCTCCGCACTTCATTTGGCCCGCTTCAATCCAACAAAACGAGACTATTACATTTCCCTAGCAATGGGTCAACACAAGATTGCGCTTAGAGGTCCGACTGCAATACTTCCCAACATTACAAAAGATAACTGCCTTCCTATTTTTGTCTTTTCAGCTCTAACCATCGTATTTGCCTTGGCAACTCCTCGAAATCCCGACGATTTTCTGTTCATTGACAACGGGCACATTCCCGGATGGTTACAGCTTCTCCGCGGAACAAAATCCATCGCTCTCACCTCGAGAGAATGGAGCACGGATTCGCCGGGCTCGGGCTTAGGCTCCATACTTCGGAATCGAGACATGCCCGAAAACATGTTCCAAGACATAGACTCGCGCAATCCACGGTCGCCGGGAGAGCGACAGCTGCTGAGACTACGCCAGCTTATCGTCGCCGACGAAACGGAGCAGGCGACGCGAGACATACATTTGGCTGCGCTTGACAGCTTGTCTACGACGTTTCAGCACTTCTTTATAAGACCGGCCGCAGACTTGAGCCTGCGGCCCATTTTTAGCTGGGCCTGCACGGTCTCGGACGAATACTTGCACCTGCTGGCCAGGCGCGAAACATATGCTCTGATCATCTTCGCCTACTTCAGCGTCTTGTTGCACAAGCTCGACTGTGTTTGGTGGATCCAAGGCTGGGGCAAGCATCTGGTCGGTAGAGTCTATTACCTGATAGAGCCGATGTATCAACCGTGGATTCAATGGCCGCTCGACGAAATTAAATGGGTGCCGGCGGAGGAGCAAAGTCCATAGCGGTCCCCTTTTTGTCTTGAGTAAATTATGTCGAAAATGAATGGCGGAGCAGTCGGCGATTGAAATATACAGAGAGCAATTCTTGTCACGTGCTCGATGGTGACAGGGCGACGGTGATCGTAGATGGATAACGGCGACTGTAGATGTATGACGTTTAAGGACTTTTTGGTTCACCGATCGATGTCGTTGTAACCGGCTAAAAAAAAGCCGAGACGTTGCAGCCGGTGGGTTTTGTTTTAAAATATAGGAGACGATGTCACGGGGCCCGCGGAATCCGCGGGTCGATTAGGGCGAGACCTGATACCGGCATGTCCTCGGAAACCAGCCAATCACTGGGGCCCTGTGTCAGGACACCCTTTGCGCCTCCTTCTCGTCCGTACTACGTAACTACCGTACCACGGGCTCTTATACGTGTACATCCTGCAAAAACCACTCAAACAGCTGCACACTCCATCCAAATCCCTACTTTTGTATCGTCCACAGACCGCGTGTTGCGGCCATGAGCAGGCAACTGCAGGTGCGGAGACGCCCACCTCCTCGGCTAAGAACCAAGACAGGCTGCCTTACCTGCCGGAAACGGAAGAAGAAGTGCGATGAGAGGAGGCCGGAATGCCAGATATGTTCTCGTCTGTCGTTGGCCTGCATCTGGGACGACAGCCCCCACGAAGAAAGCTGCAACGGAGAGCAGTCTGCAGCTGCTTGCAGAAACGGGGATGATGCTCGCCCGACTGCACGGGAGCTGCTGTACCTGGCCGCAACTTACGCGGCACAACCCGCAAAGGCGTTGCGGGCGACCCCAGGACTGCGGAATGAGAACGAGCAAAAGCTGTTCGTCTATATGGCCGAGGAGTATATGCCCATGCTTGTCCGCGAATACACGGATCCCACCTTCGCGGACCAATCACATGTGCTGACTGTTGCGCTGGGAGATCCGTGCGTTATGGACTCTCTGCTTGCGAATGCTTGCCTCTTTTTGGCGAGTGCAGATGAAAGCTATAGCAACAATGACGCTGCTTTGAAGTTCTACGCCAAGGCTGTGAGGGGGCTTCGACAGAACTTACAAGACCTGCAGGTAACGGAGGCGGATGACGCTCTCTTGATTTCAACCACGTTTCTCGGGCTTTATGAGGTGAGTGAACTAAAATGGCATAGAGGGGTTCCGGGCTAATATCATACAGGAGACAATAAATGATACGTATTATCGGCCGTTGTTGCATTATGCAACGACTGCCCAATTACTCAAGCTGCAAGCTCCGGGACTGGCCCAAAACTCGAACTCCAAAACCCGTCAAATCTTTCTACGATGCATTGCGGAGTCGACAGTGTACCACATCACTACCCGAGCCATTTTCGAACCCGAAATCGACCGTCTGAGCAACATATTCACTTGGAGTGAAATAGAGCCTTTCCTGCAATTACGAGCAGTCGCCGACGCATCGGATTGCGCCAATTCGCCTCTCCTTGGTTCCATCCCGAAGATATATTATCTTGTCTTCGAGACAACCCGTCTAACCAGACGTGTTCCGCTCGAGACTCAAGATATGAACACGGCCCAAGCGGTTCTTGGGGAAGTCACAAACATAAAAGCTCAGATAGAGCAATCAGTGACACAAACTCCCAGTTCTGATGGCATGTCCAGTTGCGAGGTTCAAGAGCAGAGGGAGCCTGAAAAAGATGATCATGTCTCAAATTTCTGGATTCTCGCCCTGAAGATAGCCCTATTCAAGATAATCGACCCATCGACAACTGTTTCCAACCCAATGATCCAAGGGCTGGTGAAGCAAGGCTGCGATCTTCTTCAAGCGCCTGCATTTGCCTTTTTCGTGGACGGAGAGATACAATTGGAAGCATTATGGGAATTTTGTGATATGATCTGCTGGCCCTTGATGGTGCTTGGATGCGCCGCACTGCACAGAGAGCATATTTCCATGCTAAAGACTATTATCGTCAACTTGGCAGATGCAAGATATTGTTCTGCCTATGAGCTGCTAATACGCCAAATCATGGAAGCTGCATGGAAAGCAAATGAGCGGACGCACTCCATGCCCAGTTCGACTTCTTCTGAGCCTTGGGAGATGCCGGTATATGGAAGCCAAGACGGATTGGATATTCTTATTCAAGACCATAGTATATGGTGCCGCCACGGCATATCGTCGTAGGGTCCGTGAAACCCATGCTTCTCTCTAACTCAGTTCCTCCCATTCAGGACCTGGTCAACAATATCTGCAACCGCAAGACACTTTTCGTCATGGAACGGAGGAGTACTGATCTGAATAGCGCAAGGCGCGCCATGGACCGCGTCAGGGTCATCTGTGCCAGTTAGCTTGTGGTACCCTGGATTGCATCCTTGGTACTGCTTTGGGCCGCTGCGAAACCTACAATCAGGACCTTTAGCGGGCGCTTCAACCTTCACGGGCTGAGGGTCAGTCTCTTTGGACGACTTCCCGTACGGAATGATACAGGCTGGGTACTGTTCAGGATTGGTCAGCATTCGCCATTTCTTGGTCTTGAAGCAAGTCGCCTACATCCAACAGATTCCATAGAGCTGTGTAAGGAGGCAGGCCATAGGTGTCGTGAGGCACAGCCGTGTTCTGTGCACCGGGGGATAGGACCAGGTCAAGGCCATTTTCAACCCAAATTTGCCGCCACTTCTCACCAAAGGCTGTTCTCTCGACATTAAGCGCCGCAAGCATGTCGATGGAGTAATTCTTCGGTTCACCAGGTGGCATGCTGCCCAGCACTGATTTTACGAAGGGCTCTCCACTCCGTTTGATATAACCTGCCGTCGTTTGAAGCGGGTCTATGGAAAACAGTTCGAACGCAATACGGCACGCTGTCGACGGACTGCTTAAAGTATCTTGGGGCAGCTGGACAATTTTATGCCCCGCTTTTGCGAGAGCTGCTGTTGCAGCCGCGAAGGCTCGCCGGACTGGTGGATGCAGAGGGAAATCCGGATCTTCCGCCAAAACCCCAACCGTCAACAATTCCTTGTCTGAATTGGCCAAGGCGTCCATTGAGTGACCCAACCAAGGAACTGCGGAAGCTGTGGAGTCGTACTTCCATGGCACGGCATCCAGGACGGACTTGAAGAAGATTTGGAGGTCGGCCACCGACTGGCCAAGGGGGCCTGCAGCGGGAGGGATGCCGGGATCGCCCAGTAGCGCAGGGGAGACCTGGCCACCATACGGGATGCGGTTGGGTGTGGGCTTGAAGCCGTAGACACCGCAGCATAGCGAGGGGATGCGAATAGAACCAGCAACGTCGGTGCCAACTCCCAATATGGAACCGCGCAGGGCTACGAGGGCTCCTTCGCCACCGCTGGAGCCTCCAGCCGTAAGACTGGTGTTGTGCGGGTTCAACGTCCGGCCGAAGACGTTGTTATCTGAGTCTGCTGTCTGTAAACATACGTCAGTTGTGGGGTGGGGTGTTGGCTGAAAGCTCTTACCATCAGCGTTTGTGGGATGTTAGTCTTGACGTAGAGCACAGCTCCGAGATCTAGGAGGATTTGCACCAGCGCTGAATTCTGCGACGCAGGAGGATTGTCGAGGAACGACACGAAGCCGAGGGTGGTAGCGTGGCCTTTGACGCAGAAGCTGTCCTAATGTCTCGCCCTCAGCAAACAGTACATCGTATCTGTGCTCGGACAGACCTTGACGCTGATAGGGAGCCCATGCAAAGGACCAATTGGCCTTTTCTCTTTCTTCAAATACTCATCCAGAAAATGCGCTCGCTCAATCGCCTCATCGAAGAACGTCTCGGTCAAGCACGACGTCTGCTCAAAACCTGCTCTCAGCACAGCTTCACGGATGCTCCAAAGGCGCGCTCACCAGCTGCTGCGCCACAGCAGCACGCTTGCAGAATGCAACCACGACGTCCTCGGCCGCGAGCTCTCCCCGTCGCAATTGCTGCAGCAAAGCTCCAGCCGTGGGCGTCTCGGTGATGCCAATCTCTTTCTCACTGAGCACGCCGCTTTGCCGCACGGCACCCAGCTCGATCAGGTTCGTCCCGGACGTAGCGTTTGCATTGAGGCTGCGCTGGAACGCGGGCGCCAGCTTCCAGGCTGCGGGGATGCCGGCTACGGATTTGGCTCGTTTGGCTGCTACGCGGGCTTGCCATGTCTGCGGCGGGCCATCGACGCTAGTGGCTGTCATCGTTCGTCGGAGTCGCAGTGGGGGTTTTCGGGTGCTTGGATGCTTCAAGATCAGAGCAGAGCAGAGGAATGGGTGTGGGGGACTGTCGGCCGCGGAGGGGCGTGTCTTTTATATACCCTTTTTCGTTTTTTGTCCCTTCTCCGCACGTCGGATTTATGCAGTTGGAACCACTGTTTTCTCGTTAGGTTGATATCGCGACCTCGGCGCAAAACGATGTGATTGGCCAGGACTTGGTCCAGTGCAGCTTGTTAGGGCGGAGGATTCATAATGAGGGAGGGTCAATTAAGCCTTACACGTATTCGGAACGTATATGCCAGCTGGATCCTTTTCTACTGCTTGCGGTCGACGCTGCTTGTGCCAGGAGGATTGATATACCTGCTATTCTACAAAAAGCTCGTTAAGAGTACCCGGCAGTTGGCACACTCGCTCCGTTGCTCGGCTCGCGGAGCCAAAGCCGAATGCCGAAGGGCGGGGGCGGGGGTGGAGACGGTTCGACGCGAACTGGAACGGCAGATCGCCTAGCGCTGCGCTACTTACTGCATTAGGGAAGTTGACGTAGACGGGCCAAGCAATATCCTTGTCGCCAATCGTGGACAGAGTTGAGACACTTCCGGGATGCTTATCTTGCGGGATATTCAGATCTCGATATCTATCCCAAGTTTTAATAGAGACTCTTGTCTACTGTATGAATTTTTGTAGAGCGCGAGAACTGCTTCTATTGCTTGGTGACGTCAGGCCTACGCCATGTAGAGTTGTACGAGTACTCTAGAGTACCCACTGAACTACTCTTAGAGTAGAGCTAAAGCGGGACATGTGCTTGTCAGGATCTGCTATACCTATCTGTCGTCAAGGATAGACATCAATTGAAGTACCAAAGCCTAAACCACAGGATTCTTCTCCATTGACACGGCACCGGACTCATTCACAAAACCTAAACCGTTCAAGATGCCGCCGTACGTCCTTCGCACAGCGCTCCTCGGCGCCCGCTGCGCTTCTCGCAGCCGCCTCCTTCAATTGCAGAAACGCCATACTTACAGACTGCTCAGCACACTGCCGTGCTTCTCGCTCGAGGGCAAGACCTGCATTGGCGAGTTCCATCCATCCAGCAGCACCATCTCAGCACTTTTCCAAGCTAACTCTCCCCAGTAACCGGGTAAGCCAGCCAGCCAGCACATAACAGCAGCAAAAGAAGCCTCCCCATCTGACCAGCCACAGCGCCTCACAAGGCCTCGGCAAAGAGATGCTGACCGCATTCGCGTGCTCGGGCGCCCACGGCGCAGTCGTGGACCTCTCACTGACGAGCGCGAACGCCTCGATCAAAGAGATCAATGCCGAAGTGCAGCAGTCCGCCAACCTTCCGGCCGCCAACCTGCGCGGCTACGAGTGCGACACGGGCAACGAGGCGGCGGTCAAAGCAACGTTCAAGCGCATTGTCGACGACTTTGGCACCGTGGACGTGCTGGTCACGAATGCGGGGATCACGGGCGGCGCGCCTGCTGAAGATTACCCGTTTGAGGACTGGCAGAAGATGCTGCAGGTTAATCTCAACGGCACGTTTTTGTTTGCGAGGGAGGCGGGGAAGTTCATGATTGAGAAGGGGGTTAAGGGGTCTATTATTATGATTTCCTCTATGTCGGGCACGATTGTGAATCGTCCCCAGAAGCAGAGCGCGTATAACACGGTATGCCGTTGCGTTGTTTGCCATCCTTGCCCTTGCTTTTACCATCACTATTACTATCACTGTTACTATTACTGTAGCGATTTGGCCAGAACGCCGACTAACACCTCCTCTTCCTCCTCCCCATTAGTCCAAAGCCGCAACAGCGCACCTCATGAAGTCGCTCGCCGCCGAATGGGCACCGCACGGCATCCGCGTCAACTGCCTCGCGCCAGGCTACATCCAGACGACAGTCAACGAGGGCGCGGAGATGGAGAAGCTCAGCAAAGAGTGGATTCCGCATATTCCGCTGGCGCGCATCGCCAAGCCAGAGGAGTTCAGGGGCACGGCTGTTTACATGGCGAGTGATGCTAGCAGCTACCTCACTGGCGCGCAGATTATTGTTGATGGCGGGTATACGATTCTTTAGGTGGGGGGTGGTTGTGTGAGGTTGCTGGTGGTGGGAGGTGAGGAGGGTGGAATTGCTGGGGGGAAAGAGTTTTGTGAGGAGTCTTGCGTAGAGGGAGTGGGGTAACTATAAGAAAATAATATAGAAGTGTATAAATACTCCCAGGAGGCTCTCTGGTTTAAGCCTTATATTTATATCCCATCCTATTCCCATCCTATTCCCATTTACATCTACATCCCCATCCTATTCATATCCACACCATCACCACCACCAGCAGAACGAAACAGAAACAAACAAACAAAAGAAGCCCTCAAGCAAAATCAGCCCTCAGCATATACGCCTCTACCAAACCCTTATAACACACACACACACACAGACAAGAAATAAAAAATAAAAAACCAAGACCAGTAAAAACGGAAACTAAGACCAAACCCTAACTATAACTATATACACCCCTTCCCCCCCCCCCACAGCCCCAATAAATCAATAAGACAGACAGATAGATAGATAGATAGTACGTAGGTAGGTAGGAGAGCAGTAGAGCAGGCAAATAAGTAGGCAAGAGGCAAGCAAGCAAACAAAAAACTAAGTATTTAAAGCCCAGCCCCAGCAGCAGCAGGCGAGCCAAGCAGGCAGATCAAGAACATACAGCCATACACACCCATACACACACCCACACACACCACACCACGATAGAAACACAACACACACACCAACGTAACCTCAACCACACCATAACCACAGTAGCAACAGCAACAACAACAACAGCAACAACAACAACAACAACAACAGCAACAGCAACAACCATAAAACGCCGTCCGCTCTCCCCCCTCTCAGAACGAGTTAGAGTTAGTTTGTTAGTCGGCCCCGAAATAAAAAAGTCTGAAGTTCAAAACCCTTCTTCCCTACCACCTACCGCCTACCACCTACCACCTTCCGGAACCCTTACCCCACCCCCACACCAAACCAAGTCGTCCTCTCCCGTATCACTTACTATCACCCACCACCACCACCTCCACTACCACACCAAACCACCACTAACCAACAACACCCCTCAATGCACTCCCTCCCCTCCCTCACCCTCACCCTCACCCTCAACACCCTTACCACGCTCACTCTCAACACCACCCTCACCACCACCAACAGCAACATCAACCTCCCCACCCAAATCCGGCATCGGCAACAGCGGCGCAAACGCGCCCTGCGTGACCGCAGGACTAGACGGCGTGACGGAGATGGCGGGCGGAGGTCCGCTGCTGCCCGCCGCCGAGCTCTCACCTCGGGCACGGCTGGCGCTGTCGCCCTGCTGCGATGGGGGCAGGTTCAGTGCCTGTGCCTGGTCCTGTGCCTGGTCCTGCGGCGTGTCGAGTACCTCTGCCGCGTCCGTAAACGGCGAGGCCGTAGCAGCAGTAGCCATGTATGCGTGCTCAGCAGCATCAGCCTGCGGCGGCGGCTGCGCAGCGGCCGGGGCCTGTGCCTGCGTCTGGGCTTGAGGTTGAGATTGAGCCACAGCAGCAGCAACGGCAGCGGCAGCCTCAGGCACAACCTCGATATGCTGGGCACGGCCGCCCTTGTCCGCCTCCTCCTCCTGCCCAATCACGGCCGTCAAACTGCGGAAATTGAACATGGGCTCCGTGCCCGCGCCGCCGCCGGGCGTCGTGTCCTCGCTGAACTCGGCACCGCCGGCACCAGCACCCGCGGTACTGCCGCCGCCAAGACTGACTCCGCTGACGTTCGGCGATGGCTCGAATGACGAGGACGCGCCCTCGAGGCCGCCGTCGGCGCTTGTCGTGTTCCGCAGCGAGTCCTGCTCCGACTCCGACTCCGCGGCCGACGACGCCGATGACGACCCCGTCGAGTGCTGCCGCAGCGACATGCGGTGCGCGCCGACTGTGTTGGGGTCGAGTGTCGACGACGCGCCACCGACGGTCGAGTCTGAGTGCTGCGAGGGCTGCGAGTGCAGCCGCTGGCGGCTCTCTTCGAGGTGGCGCTGCGGATCAGCAGGTGTGGCAGCTGATGCTTCGCCCGCATTGACCGTCGACGTCGGCTCGCTCATGGGGTTGAAGCCCGCGCCGGACCGGTCGACCGCCTTGCCTTTGGTGCCGTCTTGGCTTGATGGGCCCGGCTGACCCTCTTCTCCAGGAATCTCGACGGGATGGAACCCATACAGCTTTCCGCTCTTTGCAGCCTTCTTCTCTTCCTTGGCTTTCTTCTTCTCCTCCTTCTTGGCAACCTTTGCCGCTTCCTTGGTCTCCTTCTTCTTCCGCTCTTCCTCAGCTGCCAAGCTCAGCCTGATTGCTTCCATCATCATAAGCTCTTCGAGGTCTTCCATCCGGGTCCTCCGGGAGTTGCGACGGGGCCGCGTAGGATCTGAACCCTCATCGCGCGGACGACTTGAGCCGCTGCCGGCTTCGGCGGCAGCAAGCAATTGGTTCAGAGCATCGTTGTTGGGCTGGCGGGGCGTACCTTGTCCGCTGCTACCAGGGCTATCACCAGCGAAGAGCGTCCTCCTTCTCCTGCCAAGGCTGAAACCTCTGCTGTCAGATTGATTGTTGCCAATAACATATGCCGCATTGTGCAGAGCCGTGGCCGCAGCAGATCTGCGCAAGGCGTGCGCACGTGCATCTGCCAACTTCTTCGCCCAGTCCGGCCGCACCTTGTCTGTAGTGATGACCTGCGGCGCATCTGCAGCAAGTGAGGTAGCTCTCCGCCTGTTGCCAGTGACGGGCTGGTTCACGTCAAGAGACGACGAGGAGGATGTGGCAGAGGTCATGTTCGGCGGGACATGTCCTTGGTATGACAAGCCCCGTCTGAACGGCGGCGATTCATAAGTAACGCCGAATTCGGGCTGCACGCAAAAAGGGCAAGCGGCGGGTTCGGAGACTAGCATGCAGTCGTCTTGGGGTTCGTTCTGGTTCTGGGCATTAGGGTCGTTCGGGTCGTGGTGCTCGGGCGGATGCGGATCGGGTCGCTTGATCTGGACGAAGCATTCGGAGCAAATCGGCTGGTCGCAGCAACGCGTTTTGTTGAGGTAGGGCGGGTAGTAGAGGAAGCAGATGGGGCATTCGGAGGCGTCCTTGTAGAGGAAGGCTTCGAGGCGCTGGCCGTTGACGTACGGATCCTTGGGTAGCATGACTTCCTGCGGTAGCATTTCGCCCTGCGAGTTATTCCTTGAGGACGTGGTCAAGGCAGCTAAGGTCTTAGCGCGGCCCCGGAAGAATGGTGAGGAAGATGTGTTACCCTGGGAGATAGGAGAGCTCGGCGACGGCAGCGAGAATCCCGACTGGCCTGGCGAGAGGCGTCCGGAGGCATCCGAATGCGAGGAAGCCGATCTGGCGGTAATTGGAACCATGAGGCCATTGAGGCTGTCGGCCGACTTGGGGTTCTGGTCGTCCGACGAAGACTTTGACATGTCATCCGGGACCTCGTCCGCCGGAGGGATGGGCAAGCCTTTGACGGCTGCGACAAGCTGGTGCTCGGTCCATGAATCCGAGTGGTCGTTCAAGCCTTTCCAAAATGGAGCCAGGCGCCGCTCAATCTGCAGATCTGCGTCAGCGCAAATCACAACGGCGTCGGCGGCGTACATACCATCAGCTGCCTGACGACCTGCTTGTTGAAGTCTTCGGGCCCAGTGTACGTGCCCAGAGTGACCAGGTATCCGCCGTCGACGCCTTCGTCGCGCATGCTCCGCTCGCGCTCTTGCGCTCTCAATTCCCGCTCTTTTGCGAGCTTCCGGGCCTCGCGCTCAGCCCGCGTCTCGCGGCGCGTCTCGACGGACGGCGGGTCTCTGTCGGGGGTGCCGAGGCCGAGGAAGGATAGGTCGGGCCTGCTGGTGTTGCGGCCCCCGCGTGAGGCGTAGACTCTATCGTCGGCGCTGCGGGAGGCGCCCGGATGGCCCGAGTGGGCGGGAGCATCGCGAATGCTGTTAGGGTGGGAGTGGCCGCGCGACGAGCCGGGCCGCGATTCCTTGGTGGCGTTGTTACCCATGGTGGCGGCGGAGGTGGAAGAGTGGTTACTATGCGGTGGACATGCGAAGACGGGCGGGTGGGTGGATGGCGGGGGCCCAGGACGGTGGCTCGTGTAGTGTCACAAGGACCTCTGAGTCGAAACAGGCCTCATCCGAGTCTCATAGTGAGAGGGCGCACTTCGCTAGATTGGCGGTGTCGGGGTAATGGGCGGGGTGGTTCGAGGGCGCGCGGAGGATTTGCGTGCGGGAGGCGAGAGGCTCTGGCCGCCGTGGGTGTTGCTGCGTTGTCGAACAGGCCGGCCGCCAGGCAAGAAAGTCACGACTCATCCACCAAACCGGTTGACTGGCTGCATGATGATGATGCTGATGCTGCTGATCTAAAAAACCATCGGATACTTCTCCGCATCCATCTACTCCGAAGTATATTCATACCTACCGAATCTCTATTTGTTGATCAACCCATATCTACAATATGTAATCTGTCCCATCACCTCAACGGCAGCTCCGTCTTTGCGCTTTCCGGCTTCAACTCGGGGCTTGCAGCGGGAGTCAGCCACGGCGCCTCTGCTTCAGCCTCCTTGCCCTTGAGTGTCTTGTCCTTCTCGCTCGCCTTCTTCGCGCCCCTCTGATTGACAAATCCTTTGCCCGGACTGTCCCACGCATAATCAAACCACTCGCCCAGACACTCCTGCACCCCCTCGGCCAGTATCTGCACCGCCCGCTTGCGGTTCAAGCTCCATTCATGTGCCCGCTTCCACCGTCCCGCCGTGTCTGCCGTCTGCTGCCCGTTCTCCAGCCCGTCCAAGATGCTGCGCCACACCATGAGCGTCTTCTGCAGCTCCGCGGCCGTGCTGACGCCCATGACACTGACACCCAGCTTCTTGCCGCCAACGTCGTCGATGCTCTCGCGCTTCCACGGCACTCCGGAGGCGGGATCGCCGCGCGAACCCACGGCCGCGCCGGCTGCGACCCACGACTCCATGGCGAAGCGCATGGCAATCACCTCGAGACGCTCGTCGTGCTGGTCGCAGAAGTCGGACGCCTTACGCACTGCGGCGCGCAGCTCGTCGTTGGCCGGATGCCAGTCGCCGAGACTGCCGAGCGGCACGCCGTCATGGCGCAGCAGACCCATGCCCAGCATGCTGGCGTTAGGCACCACGTCGACGCCGGCACTTTGCAGGCGCTGTGCCCCCTTCGTTGCAAGTGTCGTGTTTTGTAGCGTGAAGTTGGCGTAGCTCTGCACTACGTCCAGCGGCTCGCCCGTCTCTTGCTTCACGCGCTCGGCCAGCCTGCACAGCACGTCGAGCGGGTAGCCCGAGATGCCGACGTATCTAATTGTGCCATCCTGGTCGCGGATGCGGCGGAGCTCGCGTATCGCCGTTAGGACCTCATCCTCGCTCACAAACTCCACGTCGTGGCAGTAGACGGCATCTGGCAAATTAGCCTAAGCCGTCTTGCTGAGGGCACGAAGAATCCTTACCCAAATATGGTGTCTGGAGCCGCTGCAAGCTGCGCGCGATACTCGCCCGCACCCACTCCGGACTGTAGTCGAATTCTTCCGAGGCAACGCGCCCAACTTTGGTGAGGATAAAGTACTCTTCGCGCGGAAAGCTTGCGCGCACGTAGGGCGTGGCGAGGGCTGCGCCGAGGAGTGACTCAGAAGGGCCGTAGTAAGGCGACGTGTCGAAGGCGCGGATGCCGTGTTCGAGGGCGGTTTGGACAAGGCCGTTGGTGTCGAGGGCATAAGGGTCCTTGTTGTACTGGTGGTTGAAGGTGGCGGTGCCGAAGATGAGAGGCGGCAGGACCGCCGACAGAGGGGTTTTTTGCGCCATTGGAATTCAACGGAGGAGTGATAAGGGAGCTTGCGCTGAGGCTGCGACGGTGGATTTGCGCCTGTGAGTAGTGCGGATGAGTACTATGCTGTCAGTGGTATCGTGCGCGCAGGCTCAAAGGATAAAGCAATGGCTAAAAAGGTGGTCGGAGGCCCGCCGCAAGCTGCATTCTGGCTGCCTCGAATTCATAATCATGGGCCTTCCGCATCTGACTTCGGGCCTCTTCCGCCGTGGAGCCCCGACGATGGAGGCGTGTTTTGCACTACGCGGCTTGCGAATGATGCGATCAGCCTTGGCGAGCGGTGCATCGACATGATTGGCCATCGGCACCGTATCGAAGTGCAAATGACTTGCTCCAGCTTTCCGACTCCAGCTTTAAACTCCGACAGCGGTGCAGGGCCACAAGCCACTCAAAACTTTACAAAGTACAGTGCTTTCGGAAGCCTTCCCTCACTTCCGTCCCTCTTCTCACCTCTGCCCTCGAGCATGACGTACGGCCTTGCCTCTCCGTACCGCATTTGGATAAAAAGTCATGCAGCAAAATACTTTCTAGTCCAGTCTTTTCGTCATCTACTCTACTTATCTGGAAGCAGGTCCTATCCTGCCCCTAGTTTCCTGTGCATGCATGTCCTGCTGATCTATTAATCCTGCCTAGCTTATAACACAACTTCTGTTGCTAGCCTACTTTTGATTCGCCAGCAGTGCCTTCAGGGTCTATCGCAGTAATTTCAAATAGACAATGGATAGCAGAGCACTTAACATAAGTAGCAGCTCGAGTACTGTACCTTTATGATGTTTTCTGTTGGGACTGTCTGGGAAGAAACGTTGGGGCACGCAAGGGTATGGGGGACAGGGGAATAGTAAGAACGAGGTGGGGGCGACGGGGGCGATATAATAGGCATGGGAGAGGGATATAGGTATCTAAGCATGCAAGGGTTAGTGTAGGTATAGAAGTTTGTTGCAGGTAGGACACAAAACTAAAGTGTACGCTCACAAGGAGACATTCATATACTGTACAAGCATTAATGCACACACAACCGCGCTTACACAAACAAGCACCACCAGCACCGACACCCCCATGAACATTCATCTAGGAAGCGAATGACCAATCTCCAGCATAAAAAATCTCTGCTTTTTAATTTTTTCCCGTGCGCCGAGCGTCTGTTTCGCTCCTTCGTAACTAGTTATATGCACGTGAACCTGAACCCAGGTCCATCAGCGCATGTGGTAAGTAAAGGCCAGGACCTATGTAAGGATACACGCATAACGTGTGCTTCCAAACATGTTCGCCCATAACCATGGAGAAGTTAGTGTAGCCGCAATCTTGGCCGCGGCCGTCAGCCCTACGCGGTACGTCCGCTTGAGTTACGTCAAGTCAAGACCTTGCGACCTGCGTCTAGCGAAGGTGAAGCCGTACTCTCTAGCTATTAACATCGCTGCTGCGGAAGCCGTCGAGTGATCACGACCCTGCCACGGCACCCGCCCCTGTCAAGTCCATGCTGCCATCGGCGGCGAAGCCGTTGAGTGTCTGCCCATCGCTGGTGTAGACATGGCTGAAGACCTCAAGGTTGTCGTCGACCAGCCATTGAAGATCCTCGCTCTCGGGCCGCAATGTCCGAGCCAGCCCGTTGCCGGGACGAGGGTAGTGCGCTGGCGGATCACTGTCGTAGCCATCACCGTAAGGGTCGTTTTCCGGCTCTGGCTCGACCATCGTGGGTTGCGCTGGGGCGGTGGAGAGTTGGGTATTCACTGTGGTGTGGGTGTCTGGTAGGGATCGGATGGCTGAGTCGTTTTGGGGCAGTGCTATTGAATGGTTGCTATGTGACATGGTGTCGGCAATGGTCGAAGTGAAGTTTGATTGTGATGCGTCGGCGTTGGACAACCTTGCGACAACGTCTGCGGGAATGATACTTCGAGCATTTGGCGCAAATACTGGGAGGTCAGGATGTATATTGACCGCATGCATCAATAGCTCGGTTAGCTTGGAACTGGACAGCGTCCCGAAATATGCTCGTTTCTGTGCCAAGGTTAGCTGTGGTTTGGATGTGGTTCCGTCCATAGAACGCACTTCTGCTGCAGACAGGCCATTTCCAGCCACAAGCTCCGAGACACTGGGTATCGCATGGTCCTGCTTCGTCCTTGATATCATGCAATTCGAACAGAACCATTCCTTCTCGGCCACCTGAATAACCTCCCTGTCGATTGGCGGATCATGGCAATACTGGTGATAACCACTGTTGCAGCCGTCGCAGAAGACTATCATATTACTCGCCGGACTGTGACCTCTTTGGCAGACTTTGCAAACGGTCGTTTCCGCCGCTCGGCGCTGTGCACGCTTCTTCTTCGGGCCCGTCGAAGGAGACGGCAGGACAGGCGTGAACTGAGTCGGTTTCGTAACGTTGCGACCGGACTTTGTCTTGGTCGGCAAAGGCGTGTAGGAGGAGGATATATCCGAGTCGTCCTTTGCACGTACCCTCGTTAATAGAGAAAGGTGGAGCAATGTGGGGGACAGGTCGACTCACCTCACTATCCGGAGTGACTGCCCTCTTCCTCTTCCCTCCCTTAACTCCGCCTCTTCCTCTTCCCCGTGCGCCACCTCTTCCGCGCGTCGATGCCGCGCTGTTGGCAGACGCGGGCGTCGCGCTGTGCTCTCCCGCTGCGGTAACGCTCTCAGCCCTCGGAGTGCCCGACATGGCGGGTTTGGTGCTTCTTCCTTTCCTGACTGCTGATGACATGGGGGGAGGAGTGGGTATCTTGTCGCTCGTAACCATGCTCTTTAGGACTTGCTCTCGCGCAGCTTCCCAACCTGGGGTGCCAGCATGCGCCGAAGCATTCGCGCTGACGCGTCGTAGTATTTCCTCGGTGGAGGCGGAGAAGCCAGAGCCAAAGGACGGGGGCTTGGGGGGAAAGACGGGCGTGGTGGCAGGCGCGGGCTTGGAAACTGGCACAGTGTCGCTTCCGGCCCATGGTTTGGATTGCGGCATGGGCTGGGTCGGCGCAGCGGGAGATGGCGCATTGGGCGACGGCGGAAGGTGCGCCGGGTGCTGGAACGACATGGCGAAGCAGGGTGCGATCTGGCGACAGAGAGCAGGTGAGGGGACAGGATTGGGCGCATGTGAAGCGGACGAGCAAAAGGCGTCGTCGCGTATCGCGGGAATGAGCGCACCGCAGCAGCTGCCCGTTGAGCTAGCGGTGCATGGGCCACCGCATCACCGCGAGCGTCATCGCGTCTACATCTGTACGAAGTATCATCCACTAAGCTACCACTCCTTCGCTCCGCAGGCTCGCTATGTCCTCCTCGTCCATTCCCACTACCTCCCGCAGTATCTCGTCCGTATGCTGTCCTGTCTCGTGCGTTAGCTTGCTTCCTTTGCCATCTTGGCTACTCAGATACACCACCTACCCAGCGTCGGCGGCGGCGATCGAATGTTGGGCGTTGAGAATGAGTACTTGACCGGCGTATTGACCAGCTTGATCGGCCCACATTTGGGATGCTCGACTTCGGCAACCATGTTGCGCGCGAGCACTGTTGTTGCCTCATCGTCAGCCACTTTTCTCCAGACTGTTGGACTGCCTTACCGTGCTCGTGGTTGAGCGTGCCCTGGATGTCGTTGATGGCGGCGTACGGCATCCCACTTCCTTCAAAAATCTCTAACCATTGCTGCGTCGTCTTCTTCTTAGTCTCGTTCTCAATCAACTCCTCTAGCAGGTCTCTGTTCTTGACGCGCGCTGCGTTCGTAATGAACCGCTCATCTTGGATCCATTGTGCCTTTCCTATACGCTCACACAAAACTCCATACAGGCGATCATTGCCTCCTCCCAGGAGAATGTCTCCATCAGCTGTTGCGAAGGCCCGGTAGGGCACAATTGATGGGTGCGCTGTTCCCCATCTTCCCGAGTCTTTCTTTCCGCTGATCAGGGCAGAGCTCGCAATGTTGCTCAGCGTTGCAACTTGACAGTCACTGAGTGAAACGTCTATCTGCTGCCCTTTGCCTGTTCTGGCACGGCCTAGCAGCGCTGCCATAATTGAGTTTGAGGTATACAGTCCGGTTGTCAAGTCAGTAACAGCAACGCCGACCTTAACGGGAGCTCCGTCTCTGGCTCCGGTGATATGCATAAGGCCCATTTCTCTAAAAGTAGCTGTCAGTTGGGCGCCAACTACAAGCTCAACAGCCTGTCAACTCACGCTTCTACCATGACATCGTAGCCAGCGCGATTACTGTATGGCCCTGTTTGGCCGTAACCGGTAATACTTGCGTAGATCAAGCTCGGGTTGACCTTCGAAAGGGTCTCATAATCCATGCCGTATTTTTTGAGTCCTCCGGGTAGGTAGTTCTCAACTAGCACATCACAATCTTTTGCGAGCTTGTGGAGAATATCTACGCCGGCCGGATGAGCAAAAGAAAGTCCAATAGACTTTTTGTTCCGGTTGACCTGAGTCCGGTTCAGTAAGCGTCCAGAGAATCCAAGATATACCCTTTCATACAGATAGGAAATAAGCGCTTTCGCCTGGGCCTTCGGCGTCGTCGGCCACATATTTGGCGTATGGTGGGCCCCAAGCTCTTGTATCGTCACCCCGAACGGGATGCTCAACCTTGATGATCTCCGCACTGGAGGCAACGCCAATTAGTATTTGCGTATTCCAATCCAACCTCAACGGAGGTGGTCCATACAGGATTTCCAATAGCGTACCCTAAGTCACCTAGAATCTGCGTGCAGTACGGCTGGACAGTTGAATGAGTATGGTGAATATAGCAGACGAGACATAGATCTTACCCCCGCGAGGACTCGGGTCATATCCAGCACACGAATGCCCGCCAAAGGAAGAGTTGCTGCTTCTGCTGCTCCGGGCGCCGTCGCGAGGCCCCTGCTCCGCATTGCATTGCAATTGGCCCAGAGGCTGTTTCGGCAGGTTTGCCGAAGCAGCGAAACTGGTGCGCGAGTGATGAGCCTTGACATATTGTTTTATTGAATTTCGGAGGAGTGTCGCCAAACGAACAACGGAAAAGAAGCAAGTGTGTCGAGAGATGACGGGAATGGGAAGCCCGTGGTGCCCCGCAACCGACAGTCGGCTGGGGGAGCTTGGGCCGAGGATCATCGCCTGCTTTATGCGTCACGACGCGTCTCCATGTCTCCCTGAGCAGCTCCTTAGCTCCTCCAAGCCACTTGCACTATAACCAATTGACCATGTTCACCGGCATTGTTGAGATTCTCGGAAGTCAGTTCCGCCATACAATCCTCCAGCACCCCGGACAGAAGCTAACAAACCCAGCCGTCACCCGCCTGGAAAAGCAGGATGACACCTCCAGCGGCGGCGGAGGAACCTCCCTGACCATTTCAGGAGCTGGAGAAATCCTGGGCGACTGCCATCTCGGCGACAGCATTGCGGTCAACGGTCAGTCTCGCCAATTGCTCATGGACGTGGCCGTTCCCTAATGTCGTCCCGCCAGGCACCTGCCTCACCGTCACCGAATTCGACAAGGACTCCTTCAAGGTGGGCGTTGCCCCTGAAACGCTCCGCCGCACGAACCTGGGTTCGCTGCAGCAGAACTCCAAGGTCAACCTCGAGCGCGCCGTCTCTGCCTCGACGCGCATGGGCGGCCACTTCGTGCAGGGTCACGTCGACACCATCGCCACGATCCTGTCCGTCACCCCCGACGGCAACGCCTTGACCTTCCGATTCCAGCCCCGTGACAAGTCCATCCTGAGATACATTGTCGAGAAGGGCTATGTCACCCTGGACGGTGCGAGCTTGACTGTTACGAAGGTTCAAGATGGCGAAGACGGTTGGTGGGAGGTCATGATGATCGCCTACACCCAAGAGAAGGTCGTCACGGCCACGAAGAAGGCCGGAGACGAGGTTAACATCGAGGTAGATATGGTTGGCAAGTACGTCGAGAAGAGCGTTGAGGGGTACTTCCAGGGGAAGACCGGAGGCGACATTGCCATCCTCGAGAAGATGGTCACTAGGTTGGTGGATGAGCGGTTGAAGTCTCAGGGCAAATAATTCAGAAGCACACTGTTTGCAGGGGATATGTCCAATCGGGATGGCTAAAAGGTACATACACTGGTTGTATGGTTCTGACTCCTGAGACATGAGGCGGAGGCTTGGGTGTCAATACGTCGAAGCGTGGCGCAGCTGAAGGAGTGAGGCGGAGCACTAGGCATACTTGATGTAAGGCTTCGGGCAAGCATTCTAAACGAACTGTCAGAATATAAAAAGCCGTTTTCCGTGCTCACTGGAACCTCCTCGTCCTCCTGAGTCCTGAGGCTACACGCCCCGCTCCTGACTATTTCGTACCAAGCCGTGTCCGCCTTCCGTATTTGGGCATGGATACCTTCAAACCCGCGACAAAAAATTGACACTAATTCTCAACAAAACACTCATATCCCTTTCAAATATGGCCATATTTCCACATAACAAGCTGTTCGTCTTTCAAGAACCAGGTTGCAGCCGTCCGTGTTTCACCCACGGGTACTGTTGCGAGGCGGCCACGCGCGACATGATTGGACCGTGGTATTTGACGCGTTTCCAGCACATCCGGAGAAAGCTGCAACCACCAAGCCAACCATCAAAATGCTCTGAGTTCAGCTGATCCATGGCCGGAAAAAGACCACGGGGGCCCGCAGTCTGTCAGCTTACTACCTCATTGTCGCGATACAGACGTTTTGCCTGCACTGTTCCACAATGCACGCGCGCCGATTGCTGACTCTGAAATGTGAGCAGCGGTTGCTTGCTTTCGACTTTTCATAGTGTTCTTTATCCGAGTCTTTTTCATTTTTGTCAATTTTCAAAAAAAGAGATGCATCATGCAGGGGAATCCTTCGTTTCGTCCCGCTATAACTGATCGAGATGTCCGACATGCAGTCGCGGCACAGGTGAGCTGCAATTGGCTTATTTTCCAGCCGTCTGCCAGCAAAGACAGCTCAGCAATCGATGCAGAGCCGCGCCCGCTCCTCCCCGGTTTTGTGGCCCCAGAGGGTGTGACCAGACGCTGCTTTTCCTTGTACGCCGTAGCTGCCGACCGTTGCTCCCCAGATCTTTCCTCCCCCAGCCTGATGGGCGGTGGACTGCCGGTATTTGGTGCGGCCATCGAGAACACACCGGTATCCATTGACAGGAACCCCTCCATCGCGTGATGCAGAATGGATTGGTCACTTGTCGACTTGGCCAACGACGCCCAGGACATCGCGCTCGGTCTGCAGGCGCTCCTGCAGGACCTGTCGGACTTTGAAGATGAGGTTCTCGGCAACATAAGCGCCCTTTTCGCCCTCAGCCCAGAGCTCCGGAGACTCGAAAAGGCCCTTGAGCGCCCCAAGAGCCGTCGCGCAGCAGCATATGTCACCGAGGAAGTCGACCTTTTGGCTAGTAGCTTGCAGCTGACTCTCGAATCCATTCGAAACTTCTTCGGCCAGTCCGAGTATAGGACTCTGAGGGCTTGGAATGAGCTCGGTGACCAATTTGAGTCGGAAGGGCTACTCCTTGATGACCGCCTGGGCGAATACCGCCAACTCGCATCGAGCATCTGCGAGTACCTACAAGGGTACGGTTGACTATCCTTTCCCATTGAAGCCCCATGACTCACCTCGGCCAGCGCTATCGCGGAGGAGGATTTGGGCGATGTATCGTCATTGGTCAAGCGCCTGAGAGCGCGACAAGCTGGTATGCTTAGTCCACGCCGCTGCCGTCCTGGCTTAACGCAATTGGCTCTTCCATGCCCCGCATCATGAGAGCCTCAATCTCGTCGCACTTCTTATAAGCTGCTGACAGGCACCAGTAGGCAGTTCTACATCCCGTCCCACCATGCCAGCGAGACCGCACCTCCCACGGCATCCTCACTACACCCAGCCGGAGCCGTGCTGCGAGTACGAACTCGACTCCAGCGATTATGGAGACTTTGGTGATACGCCATATCCCTACCCGCCAGCGCCAGAAGTGGCGTCGCCAATGAGCCCTACATTTTCCAACTCCTCTTACGGCACCTACCACTCTTCCGACGCTTCGGTCACCGATGGTCCGCCCAGCCCATCACAACATTGGGCAGTCAGGATCTTTGATGGGCGGCATCCATGGACGCAGTTCAGCGGAGCGCTCGGTCAACCGTGAGTAGCCACCCACGCCGCAAAATCAAGCAACTCTATACTCACACAAGCAAAGGACTCGATGTCTCGGCAGAGACATGCCCGAGGCAGTCAACCGCCTTTACGCAGACGGATTTCACAAAGTGATTGAGCTGTAAGCCGCGCTGCCCACGTGCAGAGGCCAGCTCCCGCACTAACCAGCCCCCAGGCCATTCGACAACAACGAGGCCGTCGTGAGGCTGTACTGGCGTCCCAGCGACCACCGCGCCCGCATCCTCTTCCTGACTATCGACCAACTGGGTCGCCGCCATCGGCACTGCATCCCGTTGACGGCCTTGCGCTTCATCCGCACTGGATCGTGCTTACAGCTGTGCCGAGTCAATCATCAGGATGGGCAGCTGGACTTGTGGGCGAACCTGCGGTTTAACGGATATGAGCGTAAGTAACCTACCTGCTGTAAGAGATGTGGTGCTGGGTTTGGCGGAGCTTACAGTGACTGACTGCTGCTGGTGCTGTCTGCAGGGATGGTCTTATTTTACTGCGCGGCGGTGGCTATGAAGCGCCAGGACTCGATTGGCACTGCGCCGAACATGGAGGACTTCTTCCAGCCGGGCGAGAAGATTGAGTTCGCAGGGTATGCACGCACGCTCATCCCTTCCATCAAAGTCCTGCTTATCAACCCCTCACCTCTCCCCATCCCCTCCCTCCCTTGCTTCTCCTCTCCTCACACTAACAACCCCCTCCACACACCAGCGAAATCGAAGACGACCACTACAGACACGCATTCCGCATTTTCCGGGACCGCGCCAGCGGAGCCGTCCGCTTCGAGGCGACAGCGTTGCGCGGCCCGATGAAGAAGACGCCGATCTGGACGGCTTTCGTGACGGCGTACGTGGGCGCGCGGGCTTGGATGCGGCGGCTTGGACCCCGGACCGTCAGTCTGAGCGAGCTGCATCCGTATGTTTTCTGCGAGGGGTATGCGCCGCCGCGCGGTGTGGGGGGTTGCTTTGAGTTGCGGTTTGGGCTCGCGGATGGTGAGTTGAGTTTTTGTTTGTTTTGAACGTTGTTTGGTTACTTTTTCATCCTCCATCACGGAAGGGGGGGATTGTCTATCAGGGAGCAACACTGCTAACGCGCACCATTGCAGACTGTGAAGGCTTCGTCCGCCTCTTCCACCGCATCCCGGTGCCTCGATGATTAAGAAGGCCACCACGACGACCACGATCACAACCACGACAGTAATGCAGCGGCATGATGATGATTACGCACGAGTTTACGATATACGACTTGATGACTGACGGCAGAGCGAGCGCGCGAGTAGGGCATGACAGCCGACCCATTCATTCGTTCACTGGCACGGAATATGAACATCGGCAAGAAAATCAGTAACTAGTTCGAGCAGAGGATTGCGTGTCTAGGTGTGAGTCTGCTTGCTTAATCCGTAATCTCAAATCATATAGGATGATTTTGTCTGAACAACGTCGTCTCAAGGTATATGGATAACAAAGCAGTGTTTAGCATTGTTGCAAACCACCTTTTCCATTATAACCTGAACAACGAACTCACTAGTGTATTGTCCAGCAACAACTCATAAATCCGAAATTATATACGACATTAACCACGAACAATATGTATACCGCATTACCTATAAATATACAGCCATGGAGATGAAGACCGTTGTTTTCATATCATATAAACTCACAAGAACAACATACACACGATGGCAAACCTTCCAACTAAGAATGAGTTCCTCAGCTCGGGTTTCGACACCCTGGCTGTTCAGGAGATCCGGGAGGAGGATCGTAAGTGTGGTATCTGTCGCACCCCATACGGCGAGACTGATAGTGACAGTGAAATTGGCAGTGAGCCCGAGTCACCTGTACGCATAAAAGCCTGCGGACATATATTCGGGCTCGACTGCCTCAAGAGCTGGATCGATGCAGGTATCGATTCCAGCAGCCAGTGTCCGACTTGCAGAGCAGTGCTCTTCAACGATGACACCGAGTCGCCCTTCATCAGTCTCATCTACCCATGGGGCGACGACTCCAACCTGACCGTGCCTGCGGAAGCGGCAGACCGGATCTCTGAAGGCGTATACGGTGTGCCTCCGCGCATGAACATGGAGGCGCTTCCGCTGATGGGCTCGCACGACGATCGAGCCTTCACGCTCGACCATCAGCGTGAGGTCCTATCGCCCGAAGAGCTGTTGGGGTTGTTGCTCGTTACGCGGCGCGTCCGAGCGCGGATGCTCGAGAGAGATGCAGATCGCAGGACTACCATCAGGACAATGATGAACTTCTACCACGAGCAATGCATTGATCTCGACACCAGGTTGGTTGAGCTTCGGCGGCGGAGAACGGCGCTGGCAGATGCCACTGCGATTGTGGCATCGCCATGGGACGTGGGGAGTGAAGCCCTGGAGATGGCATCGCTTTCCATCGAAAGGCTATGTGAGAAGTTCCAAGACTTCATGCCGGAACAGTGGTCGAACCTCAGCTGGTCCGGCCTACAGCACAGCGTCGTTCATGACCTGCCGAGTCTTCGGGACGAGCTCCGGGAGAAGCGGTTGAGTCTTCCGCAGGACATCAAGGGCACCAGGGACAAGCTGGGCAACGTCCTCTACGAGCTCGGCGTGATCTTAGACAAGCATATAGAGGGCCTGCCTCGACTCCAGCAACAATTGGAGCGCATGCAAGATCGTCATGCCGAGCAAGTAAGACACCTGAACGCGGCAACCGGTCCGTGGGTGACGCTGCGCGCGGATGCAATGGCCATCAACCTGGACAACATGGGCCAGTGGCTTGTCAGCTTCATGCCAGGCCACTTTCAGTACCGGGATGGCGACATCAACCTGTTCAGAGAAGCCGTGAATCGCGTGGTCAACTGGATCCGCGAGCATGACGGGGAAATGCACCCCGTCAACCGTCTCCATGACTATCTGGACAACGCGAGCCTTGTCATGAACTTTGATAATGTCTGCGTGCTGGACATGGTGAGGGGTCTCATCCAGATGGCGATTGGGTTCCGCGTTATCCGCGAGGTTGAGGTCAACGGTGCTGTCTTTGGCGACTAGCTGTGCCGGGGCAGGTCAGTCTTGCTGATGTGCAGGGTGAGATCGTGTGAGTAAAGTAAAGTATAGAACGCGGCTTTATTGTTAGAGAATGATTGGTAGCGAGTCTTTTACGTAAAAATACTATAGCGGCTGGAACGAGCCCTTTTTGTATAACTATAACTATACGGAGCAGTGATGTGCTTGCATGGAAATTGAACGGGAGTGTGGCATGGTGGAACAACAAAGAAGCAAAGTAAATATAGAAAGTAATGCACGAAGAAGAGTGGCCTTGCAGTCCAATCATTTACAGTGAACCGCAGTATTGCCTTGTCTCTTGAACAGTACCCGTTACTCGATTAATAATTAACTCTCTTATCATACTCTCTCGAACCCAACAACGAACATATAATTACATTGTCCAATAACAACAACATTGTCCAGCAACAAGCACATCATCCAATACCAAGCCCACACGCTGTGCAGCAACAACCCGCTCACCCAAACCCACACCCCACAAACAGTGCCTACACCGCCGTTATATAAAAGCACAGCCATGGAGGCAGTAATCCCGCATTACACGATAAGACACGCACGCACTTGCAAGCCGCACATAGCACTTACTTGCGTGATCACTTACTTACGAGAGCAGGCAGTTACCTACCCACAACACCAACCAACCACGGCAAACTCAACAAACCCGCTTCCCAGCATGGCGGACACATCACCCAGCAGAGCCGAGTTCTTCCGCCACGGGATCGAGGTCCTGTCACCCGCGTCGCTAGCCCCTGAGGACCGCACGTGCGGTATCTGCCTGGAGCAGTATGGGGGCGGCGGCGATCACGACACCAACCACGACGGCGACCACGCCGACAATAGCGACAGCAACGGTGAGGGTAGTAGCAGCAACAGCAACCAAGACGGCGAGGGCGAAGCTCCCGTCCGACTCAAAGCATGCGGGCACGTCTTCGGGCAAGAGTGCATCAAGGGCTGGGGCGAGGTGGGCGGCAGGGCCAGCTCCGGCGCCGTCAGGGCGACGTGTCCGCTGTGTCGCACCGTGCTGTTCGAGGACGTGGCGCCGCCGCAGGACGTCATCCGCGCTAGGATCACGCATGGGGATGCTGTTGTCGAGATTGTGGTCTATCTTTGAGGATGCGAGGAGGTGGCGAGAGAGAGGGAGGTGGTTGTGGTTGACGGGAGATGATCAGGTAAGTCGAATCTGCCCCTTTCTGCTACTGACTGCCTTCTCTTAGTTCTTCTGTTTTCTTACAGACCGGCTTGACTGATCTAGGTAAGTCGTGTTTGTCCCTTTGTTACTGACTGCTTTTTCCCTTGGTTTTTCTTTTTGCTATAGACTTACGGAGTACTTGCTTGACTGTACTTGCTTGACTGTACTTGCTTGACTGCAAAACATAGACATTGAAATTGAAATTGATAGACCGACATTCAGATTTGTATTTGGAATATGGAATTGTATACTTATCTTATCGTAACGCAACAACCTCTACAATGTAGGTGTTTGGTAACGATGGTGAACGATGGTGAATATGACTCGAAAAAGATGGAAATGATAGACAGGGTATAAGTTACCTACTATTTCCTAGACCTAGCTTCGAGAGCCAGCCGAGGGAGATGTGCATGTAACTAATCGAAACAAGGACTTACTACGAAAAAAAGCATAGATACGGATCTATTTAGGGGGCACTAATACTAAGATTGTGCTGCTTATAAATAAAAAGGAAGAATAAGAAATCTCGCCCCTTGGAAACACTAGCCTCTCGGAGACAAGACAGCCCTAAGAAGAGTCTTCTGCTCTAGAGGCTGCGATAGTATTGCGTGCTCTTTTATACAATTAGCCCTGTAGTGGTAGATTCTTTCAGCGAATCTCCTATACTCTACACAATTTATAAGGAATATATTTTCCGAAAGGCAATCTCTTCTAAGAGTATATAACTTATTAATGGATTCTTAAATGGGTTATGCCGAAGTAAAGCTTTTAGTATCTGTCTTTTATTTCTTAGAGAAAGCTTGTCCGGTGGACACTAACAGTGGTATAGAGTAGTATATTACCCTCGTAAACCGCGGGTTCTTACGAGTGTTATGGCCTGGAATATTTTTTATTGTCTGAGCTGAGGTATACGGATCGGTAATGGTAGTTTAGAAGATTTATTAAGTAAAGTGTTAGCTATATTAACTTACAGTTATTATGATTTAGATGGCAGTTGTTGAGTTAAAAGCTTATAAGCCTAACAGCATCTGGGAAATTACCGGTTGATAGAGGAGTATCCGTATATACGTGGTGACTTTTCGTGGCAGTATTATCTGTAGCTAGGTAAAAGTTTCCTAATAGTCAACGAATAAATAATAAACAGATATACAATAATCTAAAGTAAACAAGATAGAGTAGAATTAATGCTATACTTATATCAGATGAGTCCACACAGCTATAGCGGGAGGCAGTGGCCTTTTTGTTAGTACCGCATAACTACACACAGCTGGGAAACAGTTGATTTGAAATAGTTTATATCAGCAACTATAGAGTCTTTTTGTAGTTCCTCGTGTAAAAAGATAGCGAAAGGAAACTTTTTACGTACTTTTCTGAGTACGACTTGTATGCTTCAAGAATGCAATCTGAAATCAATCGACAGAGCACACATGAACTGAACGATAGTTTTAAGTCTTTCACAGAATATTGGTGGTCGAAGTTGCCGGGGTATAATACATCGTCCAGAAGCTGTTCGCACTCTGTGCACCAAATCATTTTGATCTTTTCAAAGACATTAGAGAATTGCAACTTTGCCCTGGTACAAATAGAGGAGAAGCCTCCTCAATCCTGGATGTTTGTTCACTGTCGTGTCTTTGTTTGACTGGGTCTAGCCTGGTAAACAAGGGTAAGATAAGCGACAGGAAGGTATGAAGAGAGGCGTGCAAGAGTCTGATGTAATGGTTGGAATAAGATATTCGACGTGAAGGCCTAGAAGTTGTGATCCGGTCTCTGTTGTCGCGACCCGGAACACCATGATTGGTGCGCTAGCTCGGGGTCTGCCGTCTACGACCGAGGCTTGGCGCGATTTTGCCCGGCGGGAAGTCAGATCGAAGACCACCACCACATAGAGCAGACGACGGCCTACAGCTCAGCACCCGGCTCCCGCCCGCCTACACAACCCAATTACCCACCGAAGCCCGTCGCTGAGCCCACGCGGGCGCGCCCGACCCCACAATGTCCCAGACCATTGGCAAGGTACGCCGACCGCAGCCCGTCTGCACACAGCCCGCACACTCTCACACCTCCGCAGACGCGCCTGGCCTACAGCCGGACATGGCACCATCTCAACGTTGGCACCGACCCGCGCCCTCTCGGTCGCCTCGCCTCACAAATCGCCCTCGTCCTCATGGGCAAGCATAAGCCGATCTTTGACCCGTCGACGGACTGCGGCGACTACGTTGTCGCGACTGGTTGCAACGACCTGCACACGACGGGAAAGAAGCGCGAGCAGAAGAAGTACTACCGCCACACGACTAGGCCCGGTAGCCTCAAGGAGATCACCATGGACAAGTTGATGCAGAAGTGGGGTGGTAGTGAGATCTTAAGGAGAGCGGTTAGCGGCATGTTGCCCAAGAACAGGCTTAGGAAGCCCAGGTTGGCGCGGCTGAAGAGTGAGTTTAATCCTCGGATATTGGCGGAAGGGTAGAGAGGTTTGTGAACGTGAAGGCTAACGGATCTCGTGAACAGCCTTCGAGGGCCAGGCGCATCCGTACAAGAAAAACATCCTGCAGTTCTCTGGCCACAAGTCGATTACCGAGATGCCAGAAGTTAAGGCTGCGATCTCGGCGCAGACTCCGGTGAAGGCGGAATGAGCGTGGCTACCATACCATTAGACGGCGTTAGGTTTATGGGTTGGGATCCGAGGGTAGTGGGAATGCATGGAGACCTCGGAGATTTTCAAAATACGGGGAGCATTTGTGGCTGTGTCGAAATTCTCGTAGTCCTCTTCTACGGAGGTTGTAAATGGATGGCTCAGCTATCAAAACTGCAGTCTTTCTGGCCTGGATCAAGGCAGCAGACGCCACGCTCGGCGAACATTTCCAGCTCTGGCCCATCTTCCTTGGATGAGCTGCGAAAAGGCACAAAGATTCGGCAAAGTATCGTATCGATTGTAGGATATATGTACAGCTTGAACCAAAAACGCCAAACCTCGCTAAATGATATCATGCATTTGCGTCAACCCGCTTTCACAACACGAATGGCGAGGTATTAGTTTATAGCTTCGCCTTCTGCGAGCCCTTGCGACCAACGGTGCACTGGATCAGGCCGTTGGGGTCAGTCTGGGGAGCATAGACCTCCGCATCCTTGCCGGTGTTCTTCAGGCCCTTGAACCAGCTGAGGTCTGGAAGCTGTTAGTGTCTGCGGCGAATAGAGATGTGAACTCAACTTACCAATCTCAAAGTAATGCTTATTTGGCAATGAGTAGCTGACGGTCTCCGTAAGAGGCGCAGCAGCCAGAATCTGGTCGCACATCTTGTACATGGTGTTCTGAACACTGGCGCTCTCGTCCTTGGCGAAGGTGTCCAGCGTGATCTTCCTCGCCGCCACAAACGCCTCATCAAACTTGTCCACAACAGACCTGACTTGCTGCAGGCCAGAGAACTGCTTCCACTGCCACTCAGCTTGGACCTCCGTGCTCAAGATGCGGTCCCACGTCTCAGGCAAGCGAGTGTACTCGTCGCGGTGGAAGCCGTAAAAGGCGGAGCCAGTGCTCTTGAGCACAAGCAGCTTGTCAACACCCGACTTGATGGTGATACCCTTGCCTTCGCGCACAACGGCCTCAACGGTGCGCACGTCGGTGCCGTCGCGCAGGAAGCTGTGCGGGTGCGGCTTGCCGTCAACGGTCATGCGCGACCACCTGTGCGTGATGATCTTGACGTGCGCGGCATGGATGTGCGCGTACTTCTCGACGAAGTGGGTGCCCACGATCGAGGCGAAGAGCTCCGGCGGGGTGACGGGGTTCTGCTTGGCAAGGACGTAGGTGGTTTGCTTCTGGGTGTCGGTGGCTACGACGACCGAGTTGTCGGCTTCGGTGTAGCTGCGAGACCGGTTAGCTGCTGGTTTGCTTCGATATATATCTGTGGATGGGCGTACGAGGTCTCAATGTCGCCCTCGAGGAGGACGCGGACGGTCTGCTCGACGACGGACTGGGAACCATCAGGGTGCTTGTGGACCTTGTACAGTCTCACATTGTCCTTGCCGTAACGAGCGTAGTTGAGCTGGGACATGATAACTTGTGTAGCTGAGGGCAAGTGATATCTCTGGCGTCTTTGGAGGGGGCGGAAGGACAATGGAGCTGGGTGGAATGCAGCGAGGTAGCTCTAGAAGGCAGGGCACGAGCTGGTTTATATTGACCCTTATCGGCAAGCTGAATATGCGGACATGGCCATAGGCCTTGCGTATCCTTACTGCATCAGATAGCTCTCGAGCGGCATCTAGCGGCTTGGGCAAGCGGCAGTCCAATGAGCTCCACGGCTCACGCCATCACATATCGGAGGCCGCCGCACTCAGAGGAGGGACTTCCCCGACGGACGGGCGCGCGGCCTCCACCATGCACCGCACGGCGTTCGGCTGCACGGAACTCGATGCGTGTGCAGATAGGAGTTTGCCCGTCGTTGCCGTGAGTCTACAACATGTGCTGGCTGCCCGAATGGGCGAGAGCTGGGAGGGCTCGACGCCGGGCGGTGATTGGCGACCAGCATCCCCCCGAGTGCGGCTCAAAGACCCTTGGCCCAAAATGACATGCGCAAGCCCCTGTGTGGGCGTAAGTGACAAGTGCGAGTCTCTTTGCTGTCGTGACTTGTTCTGCTTGAGGCCCAAGCACTCCGTTTCGTCCCCCGCATCTCAGCCCTTGGGCTCGTCCTTCCAAGTCGACCGACGTACCTACGTACCCTTGCTTGTGTCAGACTTCACCGCACGCACAACCACCTCGCCCCAGACTCCGCAACGCCTTAGCCACTCCCCCGCCGCGCCAACCACACGAGAGCCACGGTGAGCACCCGCATCGCATGGGATGGCAGACCAGGAGCCGTCCTCATGAATGCGATTGATTACGGCACAGAGGCCCAAGACCACCGCTATGAGGCAGCAGTGTCATGGTTAATGGAATTCCATGACGCCGTCCCCGCTGCCCCCGCCGACCTCGCGCTCCATGTCAAGCCAGACCGATGCGCCCGCTCTCGAGCACAACCAGCTGCTACCGCCCACTCGCGCCGGCAAAGATGCTCGCTCGCTCAGCGCCACGAGCTTCGGCGCAGGAGCCCGAGGCATTCCATCGTCCGCGATGGCCATGCAACAACCCGGTAGCTTCAGCTCGGAGCTGAGGACAACCATGACGAGGACCGACAACCCCAGGCCGAGCCTCACCGAACACACCAGTTTCGCCGGAGACGACAACCTGCGGACCGCGTCGGAACAGAGGCAGGCCGAGCTTCGGGATAAGATTGAGAAGGAGATCAAGATTAAGATTGGTTCCGAGAACTTGTTGGAGGCGCTGAACTCGAAGAGCGCGAAGCAAGCAAAAGAACAAAAGTCGAGGGTCGAGGCGGAGCTGAGCATCTCAAATCGGAAGTTGGCGAACCTGAAGCTCGACCTTCAGAACGAATTAAACCGTACTACGCGAGACCCCTTCGTACCGAACGAGGGCAGACTGTCCTCCCTTTTCCGCAATGCACCTGCCAGATCCGACTCTCGTCAAGCGCTCCCGGAGGAAGACGAGAACCTGGACCCGGAAACAGAGTCGCCTACATACGTTCTCACAGAGATACTTCAAGCTCTCGACGCCGAGAGCATGCAGCCAGATTACTATATCGAGCGCGCTAATGCCTTGGTTGAGCTCTTCAAGCGGCATCCCACCCTGAAATACGATCTGGCGTGGTCGACCTTTGGTTTGCGCATGCAAACAATGCTACTCAGCGATAGCCGTGAAGTCGTCGCAGCCGGTTATCGTGCCATGCGGTATGCGATCACCGACCGGAGGTCCCTTCAAATCATTCGTAATCTCCACACCGATTACTTGGTCATCCTCTCTTTGGTGAAAGAAAGCAAAGTCAGCGTAGAGCGGGAGCAAGCGTTGAAGTTCGTCCGAGCATTCCTGGAAGTCAAGGACGGGGTCAAGGAGATCTCGCGGGCCGTCATTCGCATGATCGTCGCGGTAGCCGAGCACAATGATGATCGGCTTCGAAGCATCTCAATTCTGACCCTCGGCGAGATTCTGGTCAAGGACCCTCAAAGGCTTGTCGCTGCTGGTGGTGTGGGACCGCTTACTGACGCTCTCGGTGAGGGTTTCTATCTCGCTGCGGAAAGCCTCAGTGCTTCTTTCCTCTATCTTCTAGACCTTCCGGGCCGCAGGAAATACCTCCGTTCCGGCCAGGAATTACAAATCCCCTTCGCCGCTTTCACAGACGCTTCGTCCGGGCATGCAAATGAGGAAAAACTAAAAGCCAACGCGAAGGTCATAGCGACTTTGCTCAGGAGCTGGTCTGGTCTCCTTACACTTTGCATGAACGATTTTATGGCCATCAGGTCTCTCATGTCTTCGCTTTACATCCCACTTCCTTCCGTCAGAAACGTACTTCTGGAGCTGCTTTTTGACATTCTTCGTATCAAACCTCCTTCCTGGTCCTCATCCTTTTTAGCGGGACGAAGATTGACCACTTACGGCCGAGTCACGAACCTCAAGAATGAGGATACCAATGCTTCATCAGCAACCAAATCTGAGGAGGAGGAGAGCAAACGAAATCTCGTCGAACATTACACCGCTATCATCCTAGCCGTGCTGATCCACTCAGGCCTGGTGGAAGCCTTGTTGCACGCGGAAGAAGAGTCGCTCAATCTCACTCTGAGGAGGAAAACAACTTTGCTTTTGGGCGAAGTTCTCAAGATGGCCAACGAACTGCTTCCGCCTGTATGGAGTGCCAGGTTACAGGTTCTTCCACAATTGCTCAGATCTGCGACAAAATTTGGTGTTGACGAGCGTTTCATCGCCACGGGGACGATCTATCAAGTTGACAGCGTTAACCGGACCTTGTATCGCTCGGGTGTCAACACTCTTCACAGTGCCAAGTTTGGCACTCCAGATCCGGAGGAGATCTTGCATCAGTCAGAGAAGAACAAGACGCAATTCAGTGCCTCCATAGACGAGGCCCAATTCCGGAACTTGATGACGGATTCCCGAGTCCTCGAAACGCCAAATTTTCAGAAGTGGAGATGGGACATAGTGCAGGGAGTCCTAGATGGCCCTCTCTACAACCCTAAACGTCTTGATGAGGCCCTGCGGGCTACCAAGTTCATTCATCGCTTGATCAACTTCTTCCGTCCGTTCAAGCATAGGTTCTCCATGCTCAAGAATACCAGGCCCAACCAACGCTACGTGAGGGCAGGTTGCTCGCTCATGAGAGCTCTTCTTAACAATCCAGACAGCACCCGATACCTAATGGACAGCAAGCCAATCCGTCAATTGGGCGAATGTTTGTCTCATTTTGATCGAATGAGTGGTCTCACCTCGGAAGAACCGATATTCTCCGCTGATCGAATGTCCGAAACACTCACTGGTGGATATTTTGCTATGCTTGGTGAGTTGAGCAAGAAGGAAGAAGGTGTCAGGATCTTTGAAAGATGGAAGATGATCAACATGTTTTATCACATTATCGAGCTGCGAGATCGCGACGACCTCATGAAGACGCTACTTACCAACATGGACTACACTCTGGACGGACATTTGCGCATCGTCTTGTCCAAAGCAATGACGGCTGGCTCCAAAGAAATGCGCATCTTTGCCACCAGGCTGCTGCGGAAGTATGCCACGAAGCCTCTATCTTCGTCAGAGAACTCCCTTCTCGGCAATGGCGTCGCAGAATGGGCAATTCGCCTTCTAGTGACTCAACTGTACGACCCAGAGATTGAAGTCTGCGAAGTAGCCATCAAGATCCTGGAAGAAACGTGCAATCAAAAGCGATCGCTCGAGTTCGTCGTCAAATGCGCACCAAGGTTGGATCATCTAGGAGAGATTGGCGCGCCTCTGTTGCTTCGTTTCCTATCCACGTCCGTTGGTTACCACTATCTCGACGGCCTGGATTACATCACTCGCGAAATGGATGACTGGTTCCTCGGCCGCAATGATTCCTATGTTGCGTTTGTTGAAGCCTCACTTGCCCGGGCTTTGGCGGACATTCCGGAAAAACCACCATCGCACCTGGCCTTCGATGAGATACCGGAGCATCATGATTATGGGCTAGTACCCCCGCACTTTTACAGAGAACTCGCACGTACCAAGGAAGGGTGTAGGTTGTTGGAGCAGAAAGGACATTTCGAGGAATTCGCCATGACGATACGAGACCACGGCATGGAGGATGAAGATCTTGAAGTCATCCTCAAAGTCAAAGGCTGCCTGTGGGCCGTAGGCAACGTCGGCTCCATGGATCTTGGCGCACCGTTCCTTGAGAGTACCGACGTTGTCAGGTCAATAGTCGCTATCGCAGAACAATCTGAGGTCATGTCTCTGCGGGGAACGGCTTTCTTCGTCCTGGGGTTGATCTCGCGAAGCCTACATGGTCAAGAAATTCTAATTGAGTGCGGCTGGGATGCTACAGTAAACATAATGGGGGAATCGTTGGGATATTGTATCCCATTGGACTTCCCGAAACTCTTTTCGGTAAGCAGAATGTATGATGTAATGAGGCTCGAGCTAATTTGCTGTTATAGATCAAACCTTGGCCAGGTACACACATTAAGGATCTCATAAGGCATAACAAGAAGGGCAAAATCACAGACAGCGACCCTGTTAATGCCAAGATCTTGAAGCTAGTTACTGATTTAGGCAATACCGTGCTGGCCAAGCGAGCAGCCAACGATTTGCATGGGCAAGTCTTTCCCCTTTATTGTCATAGATGAAACACTCCGACTAACTATAGAATTAGAATCAAAGCTAAAAAGGCGGTGGGTTTTACCAAGCCGGCGCTCTTTCACAAGGTCATGGCCATCCTCGAGTCGCATCACTTCCGCCTTCCTGTCTGTCGTTTCGTCATCGATCTCTTCGACAGAGACGTCCTACGCCAAATCGTACTAGAAGACGAGGAAAGCTCCGAAGGGGAAGACACTGACGCACCGACTGGTGCGGACATGAGTGTCCCTCGCAGGCCAAGTGCTGCTACAATTAACTGATGTGTGGGGTCAATTGAGCGTTAAAAATGACCAGTGCCTTAACCATGGAAACAAAGCACGTCAGCTCGTCATCGACTTTGATTCGACTTCTATCTAATCAGACTTCAATATCTGATAGGAATGTACGAATGCGGAAATGCAACGAAGGTGCCCTGTGCGGAGCGGTCTCCGGGTGAACACCGGTGCTGGGCCACTGGGCCTACATCATGAGGCCATTGAGCGGGTACGTCCGTTGCATCGTACATTTTCAGGTGCGCATCCAACCGCTCGCACTTCAACAAGCGCAGTATGCGTTCGACTGCGCACTGAGACAAACCAGCGAAGCTGCAAGAGGTTGGTTGGAACGGAACTTGTGCCTGCTAGCGCGTCGTACGAGGATCGTGGCTGCATAGTGAGTAGCCGAAGGGGGGGGTTCTTTTTCTGCATCATGGAGGTTTTGCAAGGCGTTCTTTCTGGGAAACGGGATGGCGGGAGTGATTGGGGAACAAGCATGCAAGGACGCAGGGAATTGGGAAAAGGAGATTTCTTTGTCTGGACCCAAGGCGGCAGGTTTCTGGTTGACGGGCTTGATCAGGCTGCTGATTCGCATTGACGGCATGGAGTGTTGTGGTGGCTCTGCGATTCTTTGTGTGATTGTAGATTTTCCGGCAGCACAGCAGAGATCTCGGTAGTACGGGCATTGCATGCATGCATGTGAGTGTGTTCATCTAGCAGCCGCAGTAACGAATCGTTGCACAGTGAAAGAGAAGGAGAAACGTGCAACGCACTGGGCAGTGGCCAGCGGCAGCCATGCGAATGGTGTCTGCATCGAGGCAGACATGGCCAATTCATGGTACCGGCACTTACCTAAACGGGGCATATACGAAGGAGAGGGAAAAGCGTAAGGTTGGATCGGGAAAAAGTGGATGCAGCGTGCCGGGCGACGGGGCTTTGAGGACTGCTCTCGTGCGAGGTACAAGGCGCAAGAGGATGCTCGAGCTGGGTTTGCTACCGCATAACTATGTACGTACGCGCGTACGAGAGTAGGACGGTGGTCGTGTCGGACCAAAGGGATGAGCCATGGTAACAGGGAGCTTGTGCACGTCAGCACGCAGCGTGGGGACTTGGGATGAAGTATTTTATTTGGTTTTGGGGGGGTTTGGGGAGTTGGAGGAAGGGCAGGTCAGCCCTATGCTGCAGTAACGGATAGAAGAATGGTGGGGTGAAAATCCTAAAAAAAACTCCTTGAAACCCGCCGCCGTCGCCGCACTTTCGCCGCACTTTTGCCCCAATCCGAGACATGGACGTCGCGCCCGCGCAGCTCAGTC